ATTATCCATCCATCCAATCTATCCATCCATCCAATCTATCTCATCTGTCTATCTATCTATCTATCTATCTATCTATCTATCTATCTATCTATCTATCATCTATCTTTCCATCTGTCTGTGTCTATCTCATCCATCCATCTATCCATCCATCATCTCATCCATCCATCATCTCATCCATCCATTTATCTATCCATCCATCGATCTATCTCATCTATCCATCCATCCAACCATCCATTTATCTATCCGTATATATCCTAAATGCTATAACATGATATATATACTGTGTGTGTGTGTGTGTGTGTGTGTGTGTGTGTGTGTGTGTGTGTGTATCATGTGTCATAGGAATAGAATCAAGATCATGTGAAGTGTTAATATATTATAATGCCTTGGTAAGACCACACTTGGAACACTGCATCCAGTTTTGGTCACCACGATGTAAAAAAGATGTTGAGACTCTGGAAAAATTGCAGAGAAGAACAACAAATATTATTAGGGAACTGGAGGCTAAAACATATGAACGGTTGCAGGGAGTGGGTAAATCTAGTCCACTGAAGAGAAGGACGAGGGAGGACAGGATAGCAGTGTTCCAATATCTCAGGGGCTGCCCCAAAGAAGAGGGAGTCAAGCTATTCTCCAAAGTGCCTGAAGGCAGGACAAGAAGCAACGGATGGAAACTCATCAAGGAGAGAAGCAACCTAGAACTAAGGAGAAACTTCCTGACAGTTAGAACAATTAATCAGTGGAACAACCTGCCTCCAGAAGCGGTGAATGCTCCAACACTGGAAGTTTTTAAGAAGAGACTGGACAACCATTTGTCCAGAATGGTATAGTGTCTACTCAGTAGTAGGATTCAAATATGTGAACAACCGGTTCTCTATGTGGATGCCGCTTCTGGAAGTCCATTCTGGACCTGGGCAACAAAAAATTAGCTATCGGTTCTGCCGAACTGGTGCAAACCGGCTGAATCCCACCGTGTCTCCTCCTTGTGCAAGCAGTCGGACTAGAAGACTTCCAAGGTCCTTCCAACTGTGTTATTCTGTTATTCGTAGCCTGTTTTAGTTCCTAAAATAACACTAGTGTCCTAATGACTTGTCACCTTATTTTATCCCAAAAGTCATTGCTCCCTGGCAGAGCACAAGAATGGCTGAAATCAGCTTCTTTTGCTTTATCTATATAGTGGGATAATTGATGTCTGCCTGAATCTTGAAGATTAGTTGGTTAATCATTACTGGAGTAAAACAGGAGAAAAAAACCGCAAGCTATTCAGCGTTCAAAGCAAACAAAAGCTAAATGAACAAGTTCATTTTCTGTTAAAACAGATTAGAGGCTAAACATGTTTGCTTTATCCCTTGGACAAGAGAACTAAGAAATTATTATTTCTGGACTCAGCAACTGAAGATTTAACAGTTTTATAAACAGTTTCAATAGCCAGGCTCGCATCTCTCCACTGAATTGTGTTTGCTCTGGAACAGGTTATCTAAATCATTTCTGTATTCTTTTTTTTTATTGAAAAGTTTTATACAAGTTTTTAACAATATCTCCCCCCCAGAATAACCCCCTCCCCCCCTCACTTCCCAGAGCTGGTTACAGGGTTACAAATAAACAAGCCAATTCTAAATAAACTTATCCAACTATACAAATAATATCAATAATGTACTTTAACTCGAATACAAAAAAAATAACAATATAAGCATTTCCAAATTGAAAACTAAAAATTATTCATAATCTACATAATACTTTTTAAACCCATATCAACTCTAACCCATATTTACTCTACATATAATTTATCCATCTTCTCCTCGCTGAGGTGTATATTTCTTTTAAACAACCATTCATCCATAATAAACATAAAATTTTCCCTCCAATATAACCCAACCAACAAACTTACATTCGATAAACTTGGCTCTTTGCTTTTTACCCCTAAGAAAGTCTATTAATACCCTCCTACCTAAGAAGTTTCAGCAAACCATTCATCTTAATCACTAAAATTCTCACCAACAGAGATCATTAAAATTTAAATTCTTTTACACATTTACCCATATCTCATAATTATTTTTCACTTTGAATTAAAAATTTATAATGTATATACTCCCAAATATTTAAACTTTTCCACTAAATCAACACCTTCTATTATTCTTTTTCTTAAATCTACATACTACACAAATCATTCACTATTCCTTTAAAACATACTAAATCAAACTACCAGCTAAACTAACATTTATTGTTCTTTTTCTTTACATCTACATATTACACAAATCATTCACTATTCCTTTAAAACATCTTCTGTATTCTTGTGACATTGCTGAAGAATCAGTTAGATGGGGAGAAAAACTCCACGCTGTAGTTCAGCAAAGATCCTACCTGTAAATTTTGTTGGAAGCCATCGCCTTAAAACTCTTTTCCATCAAGAAAAAAAATACAGAATTTAAGTGACACCTTTTTATTTGAATCGTAAAATAAAAAAATCTTTCATTGGCTTTCATCTCCAGCAAGTCAACCTGCCCATCTCTCAGAAGATACGGTAGATATTTCTACAGAGCAGTTATGTTCAACGCTTAGTTTTTTCATGACTGAGAAAAAAAATGGAATGAATAACCTGAGATATAAATGGCATTTGCAAACGAACTATAGCTTCTTCTATTCCTATGTCGAAAGATTTGTTTTATAATAAGTCCCTGAAACACACTATATTTCTGAACACAACTTTTAAAAATTTGCATGGTGATAGTTTGGGTTTTTTTTTCTCTTTCCATACAAGATCTTCAACTATTTGTGTAATGAAAACTGCAAAAACAGAAGCTATTATAAACCAACCTGGGTGGGAGGACCTATGGATAATTGGGACGACGAACAGTGAATAATTTATATTTTATTGGTTCTTGACTTCAGTTTTATTATTTTGCTACTCTGAATCACTGCATTTTTATTAAGCCTATTTGAAGGGATAATATTCTTACTAGGAAGAAAAGTCTAAGGGCTGTACGTGTTTCAACCATGCTTTCTTATCTCAGATAACAACAGCATCTAGCAGCCTGTTGCTTTTCCTGTCTTGATATATGAACAAAGTTGCAGCTGCTTTAATGAGATGATTTATTAAAGTTAATGTAATTTTTTTAAAAAAAAAGTTAACATTTTTTTCAAACTCACACAGAATTCTAAAAAACATCAAGAATATCTCATATAGCTGTTCTACACAAATGTGGTTTTGCTTGACTTCAGGTTGACTAGACTAGGGGTAGGCAACCTTGGCTCTTTTATGACTTGTGGACTTCAGCTCCCAGAATTCCTGAGCCAGCCATGCTGAGGGGAAAGGGAGAGGTTTCCAAGCTGAGCCATGCTGGCTCAGGAATTCTGGGAGTTGAAGTCCACGAGTCATAAAAGAGCCAAGGTTGCCTACCCCTGGACTAGACCAACAATCATCTTGTTCAACTTTATATGTCTGTTAAGTATCATTATCTATAATACAGTTTAGACTAAACATAACAAGTGTATCCTCCACAAAAACTCTAAGTGAGCAAAGCAGCCTATTAAATATTATTTTGAAGTTTAGGCAATTTCACATCATTAAGCAAAAGATGATTTCTATACTTTGATACCCCATGTCTGACTGTAAATCACTGCTGTGCACATTTTCTATGCCCGCGATATTTGAAAAAATGTATTTCAATGGATATGGAGATGCAGTATTGCAGGCTAACTCAGCTCTGCCAGGAGTTTGATTCTGAGCAGCTCAAGGTTGACTCAGCTTTCCATCCTTCCGAGGTCGGTATCATGAGGATCCAGATTGTTGGGGGCAATATTCTGACTCTGTAAACCGCTTAGAGAGGGTATAAAGCATTATGAAGCGGTATATAAGTCTAAGTGCGATTGCTATACATAGCTGCCCGGTTCTATCTCAGTGGTTCTCAACCTTTTTAATACCGCAACCCCAACCGGTCGTATGTCGAGGACTTCCCCTGCCCGGGAGGGCCGCACATGCGTGGTACCGCCCCCTGCGCCGGCCGAGGCGTAGCTGGCAAACGGCAGAGACAGAGCAGGCCGACCACCGGCTGGGCTACCAGCTGGCCCAGCCCAAGGGAGGTAAGGCACCCCTGGGCCCCACGCGCGCCAGCAACCCTCCCTGCGCCCGCCAGCCTCCCACCTCCCACCCCTGGCCCTCTTTTACTTACATTTTTAGTAGTTGCTCAGCAGGGAGGGGTGGAAACTTCCAGACAGCTCGCCTTCGCTGCAGACAACTTGCAGCACCGTTTGCAAAATGGGACTTTTGGCGGGCTCAGCAGGGCAGAGACAGCCTGGACAATTCCTATTGGCTTTTGAAAGACAATAGAATTAGACTCTATTCAAGAGAGTCTATTCTACTGGCTTTCGAACGCCAATAGAATAAAAGGGAGTAGCACAGCTAAGGAAAAGGGGAAAAAAATGGTGGACTGCATTGTTTGGCGACCCCCATGAAATGGTCGTTCGACCCCAAATGGGGTCCCGACCCACAGGTTGAGAACCACTGCTTTAAAAGTTCTGTGAAGTGCAGTTTTGCCTGTCCTTGAACTCACCTGGACTGACTGAGGTGACCTGGTCATACAAGATTAGCACAGTTTAATGGAGAACGTACCAGGCTGTCGCTTGTGCGTGTATTTGTGTAGGTGGCCCACAGGTTGAGAACCGCTGTTCTAGCTGGTCAATATCTGTGCAGAAAATCGAGACTAGAAAGACTAGACCAGGGATGTCAAACTGCTGGCCCAGGGCCAGACACGTCATCCAGAAGCCAAGCCCACCCCATTGCCGGCAATGGCAAAACTGTCCCGTCATACGTTGCGTGATGTCACATGACGTTGCAGGTTTGACATGTCTGGACTAGACTATCTGGATGCTAGAAAGGACCTGTCAGGAAATTTCTACACTTGGGTCTCAATGCCAACCTAGTGACAATTTAAACACAGAATTATTAAGAAGTTCCAAATAAAGAAAAAGAGTATAACTTTACAAAAAAAAAGATATGAAAATGAATAATAAAATATTTTTTATTTTTAACAGGAAAAGTACAAATATAGTTTCTCTTAATTTAAGAATTAATTATAAAAGCCCAGAGCCCCAAATGATACCATTTTAATTAGAAATTAAATCTGTTTAAAAATCATCTCTTCTTGAAGCCTAAAAATTACAATGTTTATCTGGGATATCTTTTTCAGAAGTTAAGTATTGTTTTCCTCAGTCCACCTTTTCATTTAAAGAACGGCTAAAATGCTGAGCCCCATATCCTGTAGTAGAACATTATAAAAAAGCTTTATTTCTCACAATTCTAGAAGCAGGTTTGTTTTTTTTTTTATAATAATATACTTTATTGTTGTCATATTTTATACAGACGTCAGCTGCTTAATCTGTGCAGATCAAAATAATATTTATTCTCTCAATAAAGGAAAACACAATTATTCCATTTTCTTAACAGAAAAGATTCCATACAGTTCTCTTTGTCACATCTAGATCAGAGAGAAGCTTGCAAATTAGCAATTACTACATATATACATGAATGCAAACCGACATGCCAAACCCTTTTTCTACATTATTTCAGTTGTCAAAAAGGACTTGGAGTATTATGGATGGCAAAAAGGGAAATCCACACATCTTCAAGAGAGAGCTTTTCACTTTTTTCCAAATGGATCAGACCACACTTTTAATCCTGTGGGTAAACAAACGATTGGAGCATTTAGATTAAATAATTAAAATTACTCCTTTTAATATCGGTAACAATGCAAGGAGGTATTTATTTCCCAGCAGTAAACATGCACACACCAAAGAGAAAACATCCATAACCCATATAATTTAAATAATAAAACAAGCAATCTGTCCCCCCCCCCAAAAAAAAAGCAGTCAGATCTTTTCTTTAAAATTGGAATAGTGGTTTGAGGTGAGAGTGACTAAGAAATGACGTTCCTACATGTGTACATTAGAATGCAAAGAGTCTTTGGTGAGCGATCCTCTTTGTGAAATTTTCATCGATTCTGTCCACAATTCTTGCTGAATGACAAACTAGAATAACTCAGGCTACACTGAACTGTTTTGAGAAATGAGCATCAAATACAGAAGGAGGGTTGGGGAACAGAACTGAAATCCCACTCTTAAAGCTGACTTATTTCAAGATTTAAAGACCGTCCAGCTCTGACAATATGAGGAGGATGCACAACATACAATGATTTAAATAACAACAAACAATATATAAATACCAAAGCTAAAATCTAAAATGACATTCCCCAATAAATTAAACCTATCAATAAACATGTTTAGGTTTGCAGCAGGAAAAAAAATTAGCCAACAATAATCAGTAAAATGGGACAAAATGTAACAAATGTTTCATTTAACAGCAGAACATTTGGGCTCAATTGTGATCATAAGTTGAGGACTACCTGCATTTTGGCAAAGGAGTACCTATTTTTTTAAGCATTTAAATTAGCACTTTAAACACTCAGAAGCAAATAGGTAGCCAATAGTTCTAAAAATGGCAATGCAATAATGTATTGTACAAAGACAAATATGTTGCGCTCATAATTTGAGTGCCAGACACCTTATGAAACCAGTTGGTTTATAACCCTTTGAAGCAATTGAATTGGGACATATGTAGAGCACGGATAACTCTGACCAGGTTTTTCCATGCCTAAGAATATTGACAAGCCTGTATTGTTTGTCTACTACAACTTCACTTGGGAGTCTATGTCAAAATTAAACGCAAGGGGAAAAACAAATTTAAAATCTATTTTGTACATTAGTGCAAACCACTGTGTGGTTGTATGAATCCTAATTCTTCAAACAGGAAACTCAGTTAAGCATAGCACCCATTTTTTTTGGAATATTTTGTTTTCTGGCCTTCATCCACCCCACTAAAAATAGACTTCATGCAGCTGAGTTCACTAATCATCCTCAACAACAGATAATTTAATAACTTTACTATATTAATCCAAATCTTCTGGATTTGCCTGGCCTCCTAAGCCACAAAACTAATCAGATAGGCTGAGCTTTCCACAATGGACCAAGAAAAATGTGGCTGACTAATTTGTGCAAACACAATTTAGTAATTTCAGCTGACACGGAAAAGAGCTGGATAAAATCAGCATACTGGCAGGATTCCCCATACAACAAAAGAGACCTAAACTAAGTTCCATTCTGCATCTATTTTCCAATTTATATTTCCAAAATTGAGCAAGAATAAAATATATGGAGGTGATAAATAGCGCACACTCAGGAACAATTTTCTAAGCAGCAGAAGAATGTCTCCTCCAGGTAGAAACTATCAATTTAAAAATGTATCTCATATTTTGGGCTGGAATCCAAATTAAACCCCACTGCTTATCAATTTGGGGGTACTTATTTAAACTATAACATAATTAAACAGACACACATCAATTTAGAGATATACCTGGAGGCTGTACATCTTCTTGGATAATGCCGGCTCGATTTATATTTTGTGCCTTTTCTAAGAAATATAAAATACATAAGTAAATAAAATGCACACTTGGTTGACTTACTGCTCAGTATAAATGTGGCATTTAAGGGTAAGCTATTTCTTATGCCTTGGTATCTGTTCTCTGCTCTCAGACCAGAACTCCAATGTCATCCTATGCAATTTTCTTAATTTCTTGAATTTACTCTGTTCTCCCATTCTTCCTACACTGCATCCGGCGCTTATCTCCCATCAGACTTTGTCATTGACCAGTCTTAAGATTTTACTTATGCAAATCTATACACACAAGCCCATGCCCCTAAGTGTTCAGCTAATAGCACAGTACTCAATAAGTAATAATATAATAATAAATAACAATAACAAAATAACAATAACAATAATATCCACATCTGCCTATCCTAGGTCCTTGATGCTAATAATAATAATAATAACAACAACAATAAATTAATAATAATATCCACATCTGCCTATTCCAAATCCTTGATATAATAATAATCATAATAATTTAATAATATCCACATCTGCCTATCTCAGGTCCTTGATATAATCATCATCATCACCATCATCATCACCATCACATCTGCCTATCCTAGGTCCTTGATAGACAAATAATAATATCCACATCTGTCTATCTCAGGTCCTTGATATAATAATAATAATAATAATAATAATAATAATATCCACATCTGCCTATCTCAGGTTAATAATAATAATAATAATAATATCCACATCTGCCTATCTCAGGTCCTTGATATAATAATAATAATAATAATAATATCCACATCTGCCCATCCTAGGTCCTTGATAGACAAATAATAATAATAATATCCACATCTGCCTATCTCAAGTCTTTGATATAATAATAATAATAATAATAATAATAATAATAATAATAATAATAATAATAATACATATCCACATCTATCCCAGGTCCTTGAAAGACAAACATGCCAAATCCAGTCTGAACATCTGGCTGACAAACCATTATAAATATGGCTATTATTATTATATTATGTTAATCATAATACATTATATTAATTATAATATATAAAATGATAAATAAAAATATTTACTTAGTGCATCATATAGATGCCATACGCTAAATAAATACATACACCAGTTGTTTTTTCTTTGTTTTTGTTTTTTTTTTAAAAGAATAGGACGGTGTCTTGAGGCTACAATCCCATAAATGATTTTTAGAGGAAGGCCTGCACAACCGCCCTCCTGATCGCAGCTGGGACGCACTGCCAGTTAGCTGCTTTTTTTAAAATAAGATTTTTAAAGGAGGAAGCTTATGGGGTGGCTACGATAACCGTGGATCCAATTAAAAGGCGGCTCAGCCCAGCAGGCCAGCCGTGACCTCCTCCCTCGAGGCCCCGAGTCCCTCCGCCTCCCCTCCCCGCCAAGGGAAGGCCGGAGCCGGCCACGAGGGCCGCCTTCCCTCCCTTACTGTAGTCCCCCAGGTGGGTCATGGGGTAAAAGAAGATGGGGTAGAGGGTCAGCCCCACCGCAGCAGCGAAGCCGCCGAAGACCAGGACGTAGCGCCTCAGAGGCGCCATTGCTATCCGGCATCGGAACCGGAAACCCCCTGCCCTCCGCTTCCGGTTCCTGCGCTTCCCTCAGCTCGAATAGCCGTGCTGCCTCCCAGCCAGAGCGTCCGCGCCTGACCCCTAGTGGCGGCTGCCGGGAGCTAGCAAGTCTGCGCGGGGCTGCGCTGCGGGAAGGCGCGGGAAAGCGGGGAGCGTCCGGATGTTTGCAATCCGGGTTTGCGAGATGGCAGCCTGTAAACCAGCTTGGAAAAAGCTCCGTTGCAAAAGAAGAAGATGGGTGTTCATTTGCAGGAACAAACGTCTTCCCCGTCACCAGAAACCATGACAGTAATGCCCAGTGGTCTTTATTGGCCTCTTGTTAGAGATTTTAAAACTTCCTTCTGAAAAAAAAAAAAAAGTCCCATTTTAAAATATAAGAAGGGAGGCGATTGGCAAAGCACAGTTTCAAAAAAAAAAAAACCAACCCCAAAAAACTGGGATCTATTTTGAGAGAGTAAAGTTTTGCTTAAAGTGTGTTTTGAGAGTCCCTTTAAGTCCCCGAAATCAAAATGATCTGCCAAATACTGGATAGCTGGGGTAATGTCCTGTTTTTTATTTTTATATTATTATTATTATTATTAATCGCAGTCAGCCAGATGTTCAGACTGGATTTGGCATTTTTGTCTACCTATCGAGTCCTTACCAAGGACCTGGGATAGGCAGATGTGGGTGTTTGATGATATTATTATTATTATTATTATTATTATTATTATTATTGCTATTATTAATCATTGCACAGTCAGCCAGATGTTCAGACTGGATTTGACATTTTTGTCTACCTATTGAATCCTTCCTAAGGACCTGGGATAGGCAGATGTGGATGTTTGATGGTATTACAGATCTCGTCGCAGGATGGAAGCAGTTGCTAGCAAGGCCACCTTTTGCAATTGAATGATGGCAAATTTGTCATTGCCAGTGGTGTCCAAGTGGTGCTCTAGTTGTTTTGGGATTGCACCCAAGGCGCCTATTACTATTGGTGATATTATTATTATTATTGATCATCGCACAGTCAGCCAGATGTTCAGACTGGATTTGGCATTTTGTCTACCTATCGAGTCCTTACCCGGGACCTGGGATAGGCAGATGTGGATGTTTGATGGTATTACAGATATCGTCGCAGGATGGAAGCAGTTCCTAGTAAGGCCGCCTTTTGCAATTGACTAATAGCGAATTTGTCAATGCCAATGGTGTTCAAGTGGTGCTCCAGTTGTTTTGGGATTGCACCCAAGGAGCCTATGACTATTGGTACTACCCTTGCTTGCTTTTGCCACAGTCTTTCTATTTCTATTTGTAGGTCTTTGTATTTTGTTATCTTCTCCAGTTCTTTCTCTTCTATTCTGCTATCTCCAGGCACTGCCACGTCCACTATCCAGACTTTTTTGTCTTTCTTATCGACAATTGTTAAGTCTGGGGTGTTATGTTGCAGGTGCTTGTCTGTTTGAATTCTGAAGTCCCAGAGCAGTTTAATTTTATCATTTTCTATGACTTTCTCTATTTTATGATCCCACCAGTTTTTGCTTGCAGGCAAATGATATTTTTTGCAGATCTTCCAATGCACCATTGTTGCTACTTTGTCATGCCGCTGCTTGTAATCAGTCTGTGCAATCTTCTTGCAACAGCTTATTATTATTATTATTATTATTATTATTATTATTATTATTATTATTATTATTATTATTATTATATCTGGGCTCCGTGAGTGTATGTATGTGTGTATTTGATAGTTTTAATAATAGTAAAAGCAAATATTTATTAAATTTATAAACCACCCAGAGTGAACAGTGAGATGGACAACATATTAAATGACTAGGCAAATCGATAAGTAACAAATAGGATCTATATTAAAATCACAATTCATCTCTTTTAAAGTTTCAGACAGTCGTTTGACATTCCAGTGTGACACAATCCCTCTCCCCCAACTTTCTTCCTGCAATTTCAATCTCTTCCCTCATTTCACCTCTATTACTAAAATGTAAATCCAGGAGATACAAAGACACGTTGAAAGCCTCTCTCAAGTCCCTGGATATTAACACCATCTCTTGGGAACTTCTGGTGCATGATTGACCGACATGGCGCACCTTGGTGTACCAGGGTTGCCAGACATATGAACACAGAAGGACAATCTTGGCACAAGAGAAGCGAGCACTCCGCAAAGCCAGAGCTGTAAATGCTGAAGTAACAGTGTTTACATTTCTTTATTCAGTATGTGGCAGAACATTCCGTGCTAACATCGGTCTTATTAGCCACCTATGGACACATCGTTGATGACCCATAACCCACAAGATATCAAGGTCTTCATCGAAAGTCGATGGACAAACAACAAATCCAGGAGAGCTGGACCCTCAAGTTCTCTATCTTTTGGATGACAAAAGTTGTCAGCTGGGTTCGTCAGGACTCTGTTTGATCTCTGACTTGGTCCAGAATTTGTCTCCCAATGGATGTCAGGGCAGTTACAATCTCCTCTACTATGATGGTATTTCTTGAACACACTAAGTAACTGATTAGAAAAAGGTTCATCTAGGCATGTGAGTCCACGATGGATGACTTTGTGTTTCTTTCCTTCCTACAGTATAAATGGTACCTCCCTCAACAGTAGCAACTGTGAGAGGGATCTCGGAGTCCTAGTGGAAATCACTTAAATATGAGCCAGCCGTGTGCTGCAGCTGCCAAAAAGGCCAATGCAGTTCCAGGCTGCATTAACAGAGGGATAGAATCAAGATCAAGATCATGAAAATACCACTCTATAATGCCTTGGTAAGATCACACTTGGAATCCTGCATCCAGTTTTGGTCCCCATGATGTAAAAAAAGATGCTGAGATTCCAGAAACAGTGCAAAGAACAAGGGTGATGAGGGGACTAGAGCCTAAAACGTATGAAGAACGGCTGCCGAAATTGGGTATGTCTAGTTTAATGAAAAAAAGGACTAGGGGAGACATGATAGCGGTCTTCCAATATTTGAGGGGGGTCAATTTATTCTCCAAAGCACTGAAGACAAGACAAGAAGCAACGGAAGGAAACCTATCAGAGAGAGAAACAACCTAGAACTAAGGAGAAATTTCCTGACATTGAGAACAATGAATCAGTGGAACAACTTGCCTCCAGGAGTTGTGAATGCTCTAAAACTGGAGGTTTTTAAGAAGAGATTGGACGACATTTGTCTGAAATGGGATAGGGTTTCCTGCCTGAGCAGGGGGTTAGACTAGAAGACCCCCAAGGTCCCTTCCAATTCCATATTCTATTCTATTCTATTCTATTCTATTCTATTCTATTCTATTCTATGTTCTTACAAACTGCTATGTAAGCATGAGATAAGTGGCACTGTATCTTGTTCAGTTTTAATCCAGATAGCTAGAATAGAGTGGAGTGGAGTGGAGACGAGACGAGACGAGAGAGGAGAGGAAAGAGAAGAAAGAGGAGAGGAGAGGAATAGGTTTTTAACTCGTCGTTCAGACCTCTCTGTCCAGAAGGTCAATCTTGTCCTGAGCAAGGTGACCTGTGTCTTTCAGGTTCAGATGAGCATTCTTCGGGCAGTTTTGATCACATGACCATGGGGATGCTGCAAAGGTTGTAAGTGTGAAAAACAAGTCTTTTTTTTCAGCGCTGTTGTAACTTTGAATGGTCGCTAAATGAACTGTTGTAAGTCAAGGACTACCTGTATCTTATTATTATGTTTTATTAAGGTCCAGGTACAGTAGCTAGGTTCACAATAAGAATTAAATTGATACATCAATCTTCTTACTCCAGTTGGGAGTGAGATAACAAAACCATGTCATTAGCACAAAGTAAGATGTTTATACATTTATGTCTGATTCTGGGCATTCATTCATTTATACCAGTGGTTCTCAACCCTTGGGTCGGGACCCCATTTGGGGTCGAACGATCATTTCACAGGGGTCGCCAAACAACGCAGTCCGTCATTTTTTCCCCCTTTTCCTTAGCTGTGCTACTCCCTTTTATTCTATTGGCTTTTGAAAGCCAATAGAATAGACTCTCTTGAATAGAGTCTAATTCTATTGGCTTTCAAAAGCCAATAGGAATTGTCCAGGCTGTCTCTGCCCTGCTGAGCCCGCCAAAAGTCCCATTCTACAAACGGTGCTGCACCAGTTGAGTAGTCCTCGACTTACGACCGGTTGAGTAGTCCTCGACTTACGACCGGTTGGGGGTCGCGGCATTAAAAAGGTTGAGAACCACTGATTTATACAAAGAGCCCTGGTGGCGCAGTGGTTAGAATGCAATATTGCAGGCTAATTCTGCCAACTGCTAGTAGTTCGATCCTGACTGGCTCATGGTTGACTCAGCCTTCCATCCTTCTGTGGTCAGTAAAATGAGGACCCAGCTGGTTGGGGACAAAATGTTGACATTGTAAACCACCCAGAAAGTGCTATAAAGCACTATATAAGTCTAAGTGCTATTGTTATCAGTTGCCTGGGGACATCTTGGGATATCATTCATGTACAAGTTAAGCAGGATAGGAGCCAAAATACATCTCTGCCTAACCCTATTAAAGTGCTAATTGACTGAAAGCACCATTCCCACCAGATTTTCTATATAAAGACTTGCTGAAATAACAAAGTCTGGTCTCCATATCCAAAGCCACGTTACCTGCAAAGAGTATCTGTTAATTGAATCAACTAATAGAGTAGAGTAGAGTAGAGTAGAATAGGAATAGGATAGGATAGGATAGGATAGGATAGGATAGGATAGGATAGGATAGGATAGAACAGAACAGAATATAGGATAGGATAGGATAGGATAGGATAGGATAGGATAGGATAGGATAGGATAGGATAGGAGTAGAATTAAAAACTTTATTGTCACTTTAAATGTAATCAACATACATTAAAATGAAATTTCATTGTATTCAGCTCAAACAATACGGTACCATTATGCATATACGCATATATATGACACAGAGAAACATCACAGTCTAGTTCGAATGCATACATATACATGGCGAACAAAAAGAATCCTGCAAATTTACAAGATGGATGGCATAAGAACAAAGCTGTTACAGAATCTAAGAGTTGTGAAGAATTGGCTACTTTTATTGCATGTTTCCTAATAAAATAACATAAAGTAAAACAATTATTAATGGTAGAACTATTAATTCTGAAGCCTGACTGCTCTTCAGGAACTAAGGCTTTGCTACTATCCAATCCTTAATCTTAAACAAAAGATATCTATATCTTTTAATGTTTATATGTGTAAGTAAACTCCCCAAGAGTGAGACCCACCATTCAACATGGCTTTTGTACAATTCTGGCAGAAAAAAAGTCCTTCTCCCAGGGCTATATTAAATTTCACCATCTGAACAGGCCAACAGGGCGAAATAAGCAACTATAAGCTAATTATAAAATCCCCCCTTTCCTTTCTCATTTGAGTCCATAAACTGTTAACCATAAAATTTCTTCCATCCAGAGGGTGATATGGGTATGTCCTGTGTTGCCTCTTTATACTTGTCACTCACTGAGTGCAAAAAAAATTGGGTTATGACTTTTTGCAGCTAGTTCTAGATCAGATCAGACCAAGGCCAAACCTTTTGGGTTTTTTTACCCAATTCCAATAGAAGAGAATTATGAAAAATGGTGGCAAAAATGACTAGGTAAATCCATCAGTGCAAGTGAATATGGGATTTGCTCCCTGTTTTTATATAGTAGCTTACCCTGCCCATGAGCATACTGTTTTCTGCTCTTTTGTCTGGTGTTAATTCCTGCTTATCTGCGTGTTGATTGCGTTCTGTTTTTTTAAATTCCTCCTTAATTTTTTAATTGTTTTTAATTGATTGCCATTTAATCTTCTTCATATGTCTATTTGTGGATGGTTTGTCTCAATGCCAAGCTTCCAGGAATTAGCTTAGTTTAGATACATTCAGTTTCCCAGTTGAAGCTATGTTGTGTCTACCCACAAATTGTGAGATTAAAAGAGTTTTCATTGAGTCTTTTTACTGTTAGTTGGTGCTCATGGTTACGTTGTGCTGGGCTTCTGCTTGTCTATCCTACATAATGACTGCCATAATCATTACACTATAGTTTGTAGTTGACTTCTTCTTGAGTTATTGAATATTTTGATTAACCCAAGATGTTTTGGAGGGTTTTAATCGGTTTGTGTTCTATGGACATTCATTACAGCCGTGTGGTTATAATAGTCTCTTGGCTGTTTCTGAGATGTTTTCCTTGTGTGGTAGTGTTATCCTTTTCATAGCTTATGTTGGCTGTGCTGTAGGGTGTCAAGTGGTCAGGCACTTTTGATAAAGTTGCACGAGTGTCCATTGTGTTGGAGGTTCTCTAGTTGTTTCCCTTTTCTGGCGTTCTGGATTGCTCCAGTGCATTTCCTGTCTGAATAACGTTCCACTTGTAAAAAGTTGGGTTGCCACTTTGCAATGGAACACTTAGTTAGTGTGGGTTATTTTTTTGATAGCTATCAAAGCTTTTTTTTTTTTTTTTTTAACAATTCCAAGCTGAGCAGAGTTCTGCCTTGCATTCTTTCCAGGGAATCTTCATGAAAGATGACGTGCCTGTACGACAGCTGACATCTTCATTCTGGATTCCTCAATTAGGTATCTTCTCCGTATACTTGAGTCTTGTAATTTGACTGCTATAGTCATTACACTATAATTTGTAGTTGACTCTGTTTTTTCTTCTCGAGTTATTGAATATTTGGATTAACCTAAGATGTTAATGGCTAGAGTTTTTTCATTTGTATCCACCAGTTGCTGCAGAAATTGTACATTGCTTAAAACAGCGATAATCAAAAGAATAACTCTCATAGTAAAAAGTTTGTCTGTTTATCCAACAGATAACTTTAACTTATGATGAATTGCTTACAGTCGGTACAAGTAGCACAATTCTGCGTCAATAGCATTATTATATTACCAGCAGTGCAGAATTTTCTTGTAGAAATATTTCCACGTCATACAAACTATTTTGAGTTTTCTGGATAGTTATGATAACAAAGGTGTTCTCTGACTCATGAATCTAATATGATCAGATAGTTTAATAATGTCCATCAATTGTAAACTCACAGTAGCTTCTGAGTAGCTGGAAAAAAATGTTTCTTTCTAGATGGGTTACAGAGACAAAATTTAAAATGTAGCCTACTAATCCTTCATTAATTCCATGAGATTCCCAGTTTCCAAGCTGATCCATGAGATTATGATTTGTAGAGCCACAGTACATGATGGCGTTGTGTCATGTGTGTCATACTGCCCAGAAAAAAACTGGTTGTTATGAATAGTTTCCCATATCTAATGGAATATCTAACATAATTCTGCCCATCATTGATTCATTGATCCTCAGGTATGAATATCTGAAATGTTTTTTTAACCCTTAATGATCAGTAGTTCTCTGCAATTCTTCTAAGTCTGACAAATCACACTCTGGGGATGGTTTCACAATGGTTTCGACTTGTCTTAACCTTATCTTCAATTTCTGCTGTGCAGCACTATATTCAGCTAAAAGTTTAGCAAACCTTGTTTGTAAATTATCTAGCATTCCTTCTATTTGGCTAACTTTTTGCTCAAGGTTTTCAGTGTCTCTCTTCATGTGTGCTTGCTCTAAATCCAGTAGCCCATCTTTCATAAGGATTTGCTTTCCCTTCTCTTCCAACAAAGTCTTTGCATCTGGATATTCTGTTAAAGCTTCCATCAGATCATCTTTATGCAGACAAAACAAATCTGAGTAGCCAAGACTTCTAATGTTAGCTGTTCTCCTATTTCCAGCTTTGCTACCTTTAATGTTAAGGATGCTAATTTCTCCAAAATAACTGCCATCACTAAGAACGACAAACTGAGTTATTCCATCATCAGCTACCACTGCAAGTTTTCCTTCTTTGATAATGTACATTTCTCGCCCAATATCACCCTTCCGGCAGATATAATCTCCAGGACTAAATACCTGAGGTTGTAGTTTCAAGACCAGCTCAACTAACAGACCAGCTTCACAGTCTGAAAAAATCTGGACTTTTTTCAATGTCTCCAAATGAACGTTAATAGCAATTTCTGCTCGTAATTTATCTGGAAGAAATTTCAAGACTTCTCTTTCGTCTACGGCCTTTTTATTTGTCCACAAATAATCAAACCACTTGATCACCCGTTTTTCCAAATCTTTGCTTACATTACGAAACTGCATATACTGCTTGATAGCATCAATCTTTGCTTGAAATTCCTCTCGGGCAGCATTCATATTAGAAATCATAGAACCGATATTGCCAACGATAGTAGCAAAGATTAATACACCGACCAAGAAATCAACAACAACAAACCAATACTCTACATCTTTCACAGGAGGAGGGGTTTCACCAATGGTTGTCAAAGTCAGTGTCGACCAGTAAAGGCTGTACACATATTTTCTAGCAAGCCTGCCAAATTCAGGATGAGAAATATTGGGATAGACCCATGTATCTGTTCCAAAGCCAATCGCTTTTGAGATGGAGAAATACATGCAAGCATTCCAGTGGATAATAATTATAATGTACATGACGAGATTAGAGATCCTAAAGATATTTGGATAGCTTGTTCTTGTTTCTGTTTGCTGGAAGAATTCAAACATACGCGATATTCTAAGTAATCTGTTTATTCTTATTTCTGGGTAATTCAGTCCCAATTTGAAGTAAAGTAGATCTGTTGGCAGGATGGACAGTAGATCCAATTTGAACTGTGATGTTTCCTTGTATCTTTGCTTGAGCTTAGATTTTTCTCTCACCAACAAGCCTTGCTCCAAGTAACCTGAAGCAAAACGTAAACAATTCTTTACGGTACAAATCTGTTTTTAACAGGTGACAAAAGGTAAACAGAAACAATTACTAAACTTTTATCTAAACCTGGAGGTTTCTCTACCATCTTTGCAAGTCGTCAGAATTTTGAACCTTTCCGGGTCACGTTTAAAACTAAAATGTGAAAAACCAAACCAACGTTTAGAAACGGATCCTCTTTTTTCTCCAACAATACTTAGTAACTGAACTTCTACGAAACTTTTATCCCACTTAAGATTCTGAATTAACTTCTTAACGGGATTGTTCATTGTATAAAAAGCATGCAGAAATGCTACTAAGGGCTTTTATATTTTTACGCAGGGCTTACCGTTTCTCCATTCCTTTCAAAACCAAGAAACTGAAACACCTCTTTCAAACTAGGGTAGGATTTGGCCTTGGTTTGTGATAATCAGGAATACTTAAAAGTCAGGGGTCCTCAGCCTTGGCAATTTTAAGACTTGTGGACTTCAATTCCACAAAATTGCCAAGGTTGAGGAGCCCTGCTTAAAGTGCTATGTGTGAGGGAATTTTGAAGACCGCCTATTTCTTAATTGAACTGTCCAGCATTATGAATAGTTATGATAATCATGCCCAGAAATGGGGATCTGAAATTTATTATATTTATTTATATAGTCCTAGAAGAGATCAACCCCGACTGCTCTTTAGAAGGCCAGATCCTGAAGTTGAAACTCAAATACTTTGGCCATCTAATGAGAAGGAAGGACTCACTGGAGAAGGGCCTAATGCTGGGAAAGATTGAGGGCAATAGAAGAAAGGGACGACAGAGAATGAGGTGGCTGGATGGAGTCACTGAAGCAGTAGGTGTGAATTTAAATGGACTCCAGAAGATGGTAGAGGACAGGAAGACCTGGAGGAACGTGTCCATTGGGGTCGCGATGGATCGGACACGACTTCGCAATTAACAACAACAACATATCCTACCTTAATATTTTTTAATATTCAAGATGGTGAACATATCTAATACCCCCTCCTCCTATTTTGCTCACAGCGGTAACTGTGTGAGGTCGGTTGGGCAGAGAGAGAGAGAGAGAGAGTGAGTAACTGGCCCAAAGTCACCCAGCTGGCTTTCATGCTAGAACTCAAAGTCTCCTGGTTTCCAGCCTTGTGCCTTAACCACTGGATGAAATTGGGTGATCTTTGTTTTGGTGGGGAAGGGATTTTGGACCTAGCTTCCTTTAAAAATTCCCTCATAAAATACATCTCAAGCTGTTCCATGTTAAAAAAAAATAAATGCCTTCAAAAAGAAGTCACAGAAATGCATAAGGTATATTGAATGTGTACGTATAAAATATCTAAGCCTAAGTGCTACTGAAAGCCGATGCGTTGCATGGGTCTATGCAGAAATACCTGCAGAGAAGAGGACAAAAAAACTCAAGATGGCAGCCACAAAGAGGCAATTGTATCTGGAAAAGAAGGTCGCGGCTTTGATTGCACAATTGTGATCTCCAGCTTGACTTTTTGAACCATCCTCTGTTTCCATTTCTATATCATGGAGGTGCTGTTTAGCCAGTTAAATATGAAAACAACAGCTATATACTGTATATAAGGAACGGTTTCTGGAATTGGGTATGTCTAGTCTAATGAAGCGAAGGACGAGGGGGGACATGATAGGAGTGTTCCAATATCTCAGGGGCTGCCCCATAGAAGAGGGAGTCAAGCTATTCTCCAAAGCACCTGAGGGCAGGACAAGAAGCAACAGATGGCAACTGATCAAGAAGAGAAGCAACCTAGAACTAAGGAGAAACTTCCTGACAGTTGGAACAATTAACCAGTGGAACAACCTGCCTCCAGAAGCTGTGAATGCTCCAACACTGGAAGTTTTTAAGAAGAGACTGGACAGCCATTTGCCTGAAATGGTATAGGGTTTCCTGCCTGAGCAGGGGGTTGGACTAGATGACCTCCAAGGTCCCTTCCAACTTTAGTAGTAGTAGTAGTAGTAGTAGTAGTAGTAGTAGTATGTGATCACCATTTGTTATTTTTCCTAGCAGGCTTTTCACAAGCAAAGTCAATGAGAAAAGCTAGATTTGCTTAATGACGGCATGGTTCACTTAACAACTGCCGCGATTTGCTTAACTGTGACAAAAAAAGGTCCTAAAGTGAGTTGTTAAACTCATTTAACAACTTCCTCACTTAGGAACAGAAATGGTGGGCTAGTTGTGGACATTGTGGTCAGGGACAATAGAATGTAGTCTTACCTGTCCTTGTCCGCACAAACATGTCGGCAATATAAATAAAATCTGAAGAATAGTCCAAAATGCACCACATTTCTAAATTGTTTTGATTAAGGTCATCAAAACAGGCCCTGAGTAAGAACAAATGACACCAGCAATTTAAAATTAAGCATCAAATATCATCATCAACAACAACAACAACAGCTATTCATTTCAGTGGAAGGACCATGTGGCACTTTAGGAAGATGAGTCTCATTCTGGACTGCTTTGTCTGTTAAAGAAAATAAAGATTTTTTGGTACCCCTGCCAATTTGCAGAAAAAACAGATAGCATGCCATGGATGCCATGCCAGATCTGTTGCAGCAGACTAACAGTGTTAGTCTAGGGCAGGGGTAGGCAACCTTGGCTCTTTTATGACTCGTGGACTTCAACTCCCAGAATTCCTGAGGGGAGTTTCCCCCATGCTGAGGGGAAAGGGAGAGGTTTCCAAGCTTAGCCATGCTGGCTCAGGAATTCTGGGAGTTGAAGTCCACGAGTCATAAAAGAGCCAAGGTTGCCTACCCCTGCTCTAGGTTGGCACCTTTTCCAATTAACCAATTTTAGTAAAAGCTTTCATCAGCTGCAATTCACTTCATCAAATGGGTAGAATGGCTAACCCATGTAGGGTTTAAATTGAGATGAGGTGTGTGTGTGTGTATGTGTAAGGAAGTGGAGATTAGGTAGATGATGCAAACACGGGTAGTGTGTAAGAGAGCTTACAAGTATCTTACCTATTAAGGCAGGGGTTTTCTAACTTGGCCCTTTTATGACTTGTGGACTTCAACTCCCAGAATTCCTCAGCCTGGCTGAGGAATTCTGGGAGTTGAAGTCCACAAGTCATAAAAGGGCCAAGTTTGAAGACCCCCTGTATTAAGGGCTGTAATGAGCAAAAAAAAGATATTGTGTTTAATGAGACCATCCGAGATAGATTGAAATCTTTTGATGTACTTGAGTTGCTTTGGATAAACAGGATACAAACAGCACCATCAAGTGACAAATTATTGAATTCACATACTGCAAAAGACTTAGCGAGCACTACCTAGGATTTATGAAAATCAGTACTTGATACTTATAGATTTCAGTTACTATATTCACAAGCTCACATAGCTTCAGATGGTAAATACAAACTTTAGCTATAAATCTCTAAGTAGGGGAAGAAGGTGCTAGTCCTTTTTAAATTAACCTTCCTTGAAACTGTTACATCATTATGGAGATTAGCTGTCTCCTAAGGTTAAATCAACCGCACATTCAAATATATTCAGATAGTCGGTTTCTAATTTAAGAGTTTGAATGTTCAGCAAATGACAATGTATAGACCATTTTTGGAATCTTTGAACCGTTTACGTACATTTTGTCACCAGCCATCAAAATGGCTGCAAAGTATTCATATGTGAATATCCTTACTCCCGTATTGCAGACTGGAGTATGGTATACATTTTACACTCTGTTATACGTTGTTATTTTGCCAAGACCTCCATTATCCACAGATGTTTCTTAACTCACAACCCTGGAATTTTTTTCAATGAACTTAACTGGACTGGATCATATTTTCTGCTTATTTATTTATTTATTTATTTATTAAATGTGCATGCCGTACGCTTCCCAATAACTGGATAGCTTACAGGTGAAACGGTTTCGAAGAATGCAACAAGAATTAAAAATAAAGATTAAAAAAGAAGTTCTTTCTTTCTGTTTCTCTCTGGATAGCAATTACGGGAGTTGAAGTTCAACACAGTTGGATGACGCCAAGTTGGGAAGCTGGGCTTAAGGCTACAGCAGTGATGGCGAACCTTTTAAAGACCGAGTGCCCCAAAACTGGCCCCGTCCTGCTCCACCCCCTGCCCCGCCCCCCCCGCCTGCCCACAGGGCCACTCACCGCCTCCAGGGCCCGCCGCAAATCGCCCAGGCAGCCCAGCAGTGCCATGGCGGCCACGCCCTCTGCCTGCGCCCCGCAGCATCAACTGTACGCGATGGGGCGTGAGGGCAAAATCTTGTCTATGCTGCCTGGCTGCCATGTCCTTGGCTGCGCTGCTCCGTGTGGGCCACACTCGGGAGCAACTCTCCAGGGGGGCTGCTAGTGAGGAGGGGGTCATGGGGGGAGACAAGGCTGGGGCAACGGCACGTGTGCCCACAGAGAGGGCTCCGAGTGCCGCCTCTGGCACACGTGCCATAGGTTCGCCACCACTGGGCTACAGCAATATTTCTAATGTGGTCAGTTTTCTATAATACTACAATACCTAGCAATGATCACTGTCCAATTGTACATGACAGGCAAGGTGATACAGAACAGCCAGTGGTAGTAAAGGTTTCCAGAGGGATCAATGACAAATATTTCTTTCTTCCTCCTGAAGAGTAAGCAAAAGGGGAAAAAAATTATCCATTCCTACATTAATACACAAAATGGTTGCCCAAGTTGAAACCGAAATGACTTCACTGAATCAACTCCTTCTTAGAAATCTCTACAATTTAACTTTGGCTCAAGTCGTTGCAAAATAAAAGAAGGCAGTTGTTCCATTCGGATGCCAAGGCATAGGTAGTTATCTAGAATATAACATTGGTACAGTTCAGGGCAAGGATCAGATTTTCCTCTCTGTTCTGCGTGCCCCTTTCACAAGTCCTACCCCTTCCGATTGTCCATCGTATCATAGTCTAAGGCAGGGCTTTTCAACCAGTGGTACGGGTACCACCTGTAGTACATTGGCACCTGGCAGGTGGTACACGACCATCCTAGAAAAGTGATAGCGAGGGAGGGGAATGAGCTGAACCGGTGGCAACACCGCACAGACCTGAGCAAGAGATGGCTGGAGCTGCAGTGCTGTCAGGGCTCAGTGGAAGCGCCAGGCTCCAGCTGGAGCTCGGCGCTGATCCTGGTGCTTCTCCTGATCCCTGAAGAAGCACCAATCAGCTGGAAAGCAGCACTGATCCTGGCGCTTCTGCTGAGCCCAGAAAGCGCTGATCAGCTGGAATGTTGCAGCACCTCCAGGGTCTTGTGGTTTACATTCAGATGCTTGGCAACTGATTCATATTTATGATGGTCACAGTGTCCCAGGGTCATGTGAAGCGACCAAAACCTGCTGCAACCACCCAGAAGACAGGGAGGATAAAAACCAAACACCCCCCCCACCCCATCCCCACTGCCAATCCTCAACAGAAATGCTCATAACAATGAAAATCTCAGACAGGAGGAAGAGTGCGGGCAGGCAGGCAGGTGTCTTGCTCGGCTGTGGCTTGGGGGGCACTTTTTTCAGTGCCATTGTAACTTCGAACAGTCACTAAGCGAACTGTTGTAAGTCGAGGATTACCAGTACTTTATCACTTTTTTCCTTTTGGGGGGGGTCATCAAGTTTTTGTCACCTTGCTAGGCGACTGGTGGTACTCGGATGTTGCCATATCCTAAAAGTGGTACAGTGGGTGAAAAGGTTGAAAAGTCCTGGTCTAAGGAGAAGGCTATAGAACCAGCAGATTGAGGCATGGAGGACCCTGGAAAACCCTCTGCTTTGCAGATGTGACTCTGCCAGCATGGCCGTCCTAACTAATGGGGGTGCAAACAGGCATGACAAAATATCCCAGTCGGAGTCACTTGTGAGTAGTCCCTCCTGATCAATAGCATCAACCAGCCTCACACCGGACCACGCCAGTGGTGCTTGGCCAGCAACAGCAAAAAGTTGCAAAGGCCAGATGGGGCAATAAGTGCAGGGCTTCAGAGACTGTGGGATGCAGGTCTATGCCAAAAGGGTTGAAATGGGGGAGAGGTGGATGGAGGAGTTGAAGTGCCTTTGCAATCACAAGTGTAAGCAGCTGCCAAGTGTTCAAATTTTGATCATATGCCCACGGAGCGGTGCAACTGCCATAATTTAAGACGCCGGGGGTAATTTGACTCAACTTCAAACAGTCACTAAACAAATGGTGTAACTCGAGGGCTATTAGGATATGGTAACGTGACCTGGACAGGGAGGTCACAGGCAAAAGCACAATTGAGAAACAATGCCTTAGGTCAGGGGTAGGCAACCCAAAACACTCAAAGAGCCACTTGGACCCGTTTCCCACCAAAAATAAAACACCGAGAGCCGCAAAACCCTTTTGAGATCTAAAATGAAGATAACAGTGCATATATCCTTTTTTACCTTTATTATAGGTGTGTGTGTGTGTGTGTGTGTGTGTGTTTGTGTATGTATGTGTGTGTGTTTGTGTATGTATGTGCGTGTTTGTGTGTATGTGTGTGTGTATATATATATATATACATACACACACACACACACACACATTAAAAATAAAAGTAAAAATATGACTCTTGGGAATATCCATATATTAAAACAATGATCACCAAGAGAATGCTTTAAGAGAATAAAATTACATACACACAGAGGTAAAAAAAGGATATATGCAGTGTTATCTTTATTTTAGATGTCAAAAGGGTCTCTCTCTCTCTGTCTTTCTTCCTCCCTCCCTCTCTGCCCTTGGTCTGCCACTCCTCTTCCCCCACTCTCTTTCTTTCTCTCTCTTTCCTCTCTCTCTCTCTCTCTCTCTCTCTCCCCCTCTCTCTCTTTCTCTCTCTTTCTCCCCCCCCCCTCCTATCTGCTGCTCACCTGGCAAGCTTCAAGCTGTTGTCCAACAAGTTCAGGGGTAAGTAACCTCGTCTCTTTTATGACTCATGGACTTCAACTCCCAGAATTCTTGAGTCAGCCTAGCTGGGCTAGCTAGCTCTCTCCTGCCTTTCCTGCTTCCTGCAGAGATGCAGCAAAGGGAGGAACTCCACCCAGTAAGCTTTTCAGCTCCTCGGAGAACACTGTGAGTGCACTCTCTTTTACACACACACACACACACACACACAGAGAGAGAGAGAGAGAGAGAGAGAGAGAGAGAGAGAGAGAGAGAAGCAGGGAAGCGCAATTGCCTCTCTCTGTCTCCGTCTCTCTCTGCAAAGGCAGAGGAGGCTGGGAGCCACAGGGGAAGGCTCAAAGAGCCGCATGCGTCTCCGGAGCCGCAGGTTGCTGACCTGTGCCTTAGGTTCTAGCGAAAAACTATAGTATGGCCCCAGATGTAATGGTATGTAGGAATGATCTAGGGCAGCGGTCTTCAAACTTGGCCCTTTTATGACTTGTGGACTTCAACTCCCAGAATTCCTCACCCAGGCACACTAGCTGAGGAATTCTGGAAGTTGAAGTCCACAAGTCATAAAAGGGCCAAGTTTGAAGACCCCCAATCTAGGGAGACTGGAAAAAGAGCTGCAGATTGGAGGATCAGCATTTAAAAGACACCTCAGCTCATAAGAGTGGAAGGCATGGGAAACATATCAGAAGAAATTTCTGGGGAATTAAAGGAAAGAAGTGGACTTTGGGACCTGCAGGATTCTAGTAAGGTAATTGTAGAGGTGGGGGCCAGGTAGAGGTCGTGAGCAGCAAACTGCCCCTCCAAAGCCTGCGTGCCTCTTCTCTCTACATCTATCTCATCCCTTCACATCACCATGGCAATGTGGGAAAATACCCCAGGCTGGTACAATGACCTCACCTGCCTGATAACAGCTAGCTTACACCAACAGGATGTTACAGCCAACTGCTCCCTGTTTTGGGCCTCTGGCTTTCTATCCTTAAGGATTGGTAAGGAGTTTAACCAATGAAATGCTATTGCTATGCTATTGCCATGCTAAACTTTTGCTGCTTATAAAACTGTATAAAAGGCAATAAACGCTGCGAAGGCGGTCAGCCATATTTGCACTCTGCAATGACTGAGCACTGACTACTACAGTAATCTTAACAATAAAGCTAGAGCTAGTGTTTATTGATGTGCTTCTTTTCTGAACTACCTCCCCTGACTGAAATCAGAACAAAAGGATCTTGTCTATAAACTGACTTGGGCAGTAATGCATTTTAACAGGAGATCGTTCTGTGTAGAAATTTAAAAGCACTTACTCTTTATTATTTTTCTCCTCAGGTTTACTTTTATTTTTCTTCTCATCCTTCTCTTCCTTGTTCACTGTGTTATTTTTCTTTGTGTCCCCAGTTTCACTGAAAGAAAAGAAATATATAACCATTAAAAAGTGCACCCTCACCATAAAGTTACTTTTATTCTGTCTTATTTTTAATGCACTTAGTTTGCCATAAAAATGTTCCACAAAAGATTTCTCCTGGGAATACTTAAAAAGAAATTTGATAGGAAAAGAAGATATCTCATTCTACATATATTAACTACGGCAAGAATTGCGTTTGCGCAATACTGGAAGGAACGCAATATACCACCAGAGGGATTGATCATTCAGAAGATATATGAATGTGCTGAAATGGACAAACTCACTCTAGAATTAAAAGAAAAAGATGATTCGGAATTTTACACGGTTTGGGAAAAGTGGTATACTTGGATAGACAATAGAAACAAAAATTGGAAATATACATAAGGCTGTTGTGGGTTAGATATTGAATGTATACAGTGTATATATTGTATAGAATGTTGATCCGAAGTATATAAAAATGACACAGTCTGCTGAATATGTACTAGAGCTGTATAAAGGAAAATGATAATAAAAATTATTATATAAAAAATGTTCCATAGTTCTTGCATATTATGGTATATGCTCACTACTCACTATTGGGAATCTTATGTTTTAATTTTGAATGTATCTAAGAGCCCTGGTGGCGCAGTGGTTAGAATGCAGCACTGCAGGCTAATTCTGCCAACTGCCAACAGTTCAGTCCTCACTGGCTTTAAGTTAACTTGGGCTTTCATCCTTCCGAGGTCGGTAAAATGAGAACCCAGATTGTTGGGGGCAAGATGCTGACTCTGTAAACTGCTTATAGAGGGCTGTGAAGCACTGCAAAGCGGTATATAAAGTCTAAGTGCTATTGCTATATCTATGAGGTCGCTAAGAGTCACCAATGACTTTATGGCCTAAAACCACTCAGTCAAAGCCCTAGGACACGGGTAGGCAACTTTGGCTCTTTTATGACTCATGGACTTCAACTCCCAGAATTCCTGAGCCAGCATGCCTCAGCTTGGAAACCTCTCCCTTTCCCCTCATCATAGCTGGCTCAGGAATTTTGGGAGCTGAAGTCCCTGAGTCATAAAAGAGCCAAGGTTGCCTACCCCTGCCCTAGGAACTGTGACATTAACCCAAGTTTATGGATTACATTGCATTACAATATACATATTATATTTGTAAGCCGCTCAGAGTTGCCTTGAACCACAGGATGGATGGATGGCATTTAAATTTAATAAATAAGTTTAGATCCTCAGCAAAAAAAAAAAAAATTCATGCACTCACACAGCTTGCTTGCTTTCTCCATCCTCCACATTTTCGATACTTTCCTTTTTATCATTGCTGGCTAAATTATGAGGATCTGAGTCTGAGTGTTGAGTTTCACTCTCCCCCATTCTTGCAGTGATAATTTGTCACCTGAAAAAAAAAAAGAGAGAGAGAGAGAGAGAGAAATAGGTTCAAAGTGGACCAACAAGACTTTGTTTATAATGATATATGAAAAAAAATCCATCCTATCTCTGGTGTGGCCAGCGGCTTAACCAAAGTATTATTTGTTTGCTTATTTATTCATAACACAGATTACCAGGGTCTCTCAGTCGTTCACATTAAAGAAGAAGAATTAGAACCGGAAGTATTTAAAAAAAATATTTAAAACCAGCGTTTAAAACAGTGGTTCTCAACCTTTCTAATGCCGTGACCCCATAATACAGTTCCCCATGTTGTGGTGACCCCCAAGTGGGTGTGGCCACCAATAAGAGGGAGTAGGACAGCTAGGGAAAAGAGAAAAAAATGGCGGACTGCGTTGTTTGGCGACCCCCGTGAAATGGTCATTCGACCCCAAATGGGGTCCCGACCCACAGGTTGAGAACCACTGGTTTAAAACAAAGGTTAAAAGCCTACTTTATAAAAGCGTCAACACTGCTAACATTGGATGTTTTTACTTTGACAACAGATGGAGATGCAACCCTTTTCTTCTTCTGTTTTAGTTAGAATTAGATGATGCTGGGGGAAGGAATGTGCATGAAAATTTAGCTAGACATAACAATACTGAACCAAGTGGGTGAACCAAGGTTATTGAAATAAGAGATGATAAGAATTGGCAGGCTGGCGAACTGGAGGGGAAGCCTGCATTTCAAACTAATTGGAGAATGTGATTTATGACTGTTTTGATACTATGTGCTTTGATACTATGTGCTCAGGGGAGGGGAACCCAGTTTTTGGCTTTGATTGTGTTAGTGCGGATGCTATGCTTCTCGAATGAAAGATTCTTTAAGGTAAACAATGCCTCGAAGTTCTTTGAAGAGTTTCATCTGTCGGAACCATGACATTTGAGCTTTTAAAAAGGTCAAAGAAAACCCAGAGTTCTCAACGAGGAGTACACACCACAGAATTGGGGCATCTACAGAGAAACATCAGTCTCAAATTATCAGACATCAGTCCAGCAATAACTGTAGGCAAATCTTCTAAGACAACGGCCCCCAAGCTTTTGGGCACCAGGGACCAGTTCCATGGAGAAAGGTTTTTTGATGGACTAGAGGGGGCGTGGTTTCATGTGCTGCCTGCATCCTGCAGATGGCGCTTTGCTTGTTTGCATGGCCCGGTTGCTGGCATGCTACAGACCGGTGCCGGTCCATGGCCCGGGGGTTGGTGACCCCTGTTCTAAGAGGAAGGAGTATCTGAGGAATATCTGAGGTAAAGTGGTGTTATTTCACGTACAGGTAGTCCTCGACTTACAACAGTTCATTTAGTGATCATTGAAAGTTACAATGGCACAGAAAAAAGCGACTTATGGCCGTTTTTCATACTTACAACGGTTGTAGCATCCCCGTGGTCACGTTCTCAAAATTCAACTGACTCATATTTATGACGGTTGCAGTGCCCTGGGGTCACATGATCTTTTTTTGCAACTTTCTGAGAAGCAAAGTCAATGAGGGAAGCCAAATTCATGTTACAACCGTATCACTAACTTAACAACTGCAGTGATTCACTTAAATGTGGCAAGGACGGTCGTAAAGTGGAACAAAATTCACGTAAGAAATGTCTTCTCTTAGCTACAGTCGGGCTCAATTGTGCTCGTAAGTTGTGGATTACCTGCACTCCAAATCCAGGCTGCATAAGACTTTAAAGGTGATCCTCAGGACTTTGAACTTGTCTTTAGCACAGGGGCAATGTAATTTGTTTATTTAAATGACTTAACTGGCCAGCCATCTTGTGAAACCCTGGACGGCTCGCAACAATACTAAAATTAAAACCAAGAAAGTCAGGCACTGGATGCATCAGTTCCAGTCCATCAATCCATATAATTCTCAGATTCCAACTTTTATCCCAGTACCTGGAGAAAACCCAGCCTTTTACAACTTTCTGAAAGGCTAAAAGAGTGGGGGGCCTGGTGAATCCCAGGGTGAAGGGTATTTGAAAGGGTAGGGGCTGCTATGGAAGGGCTGCTTCCTAGATCAGTGATGGCGAACCTTTTAGAGACTGAATGCCCCAAACCCGCCCCTGCCCCCCTGCAGGGCCACTTACCGCCTCCAAGACCCACCGCAGATCGCCCACGTGGCCCAGCAGCACCACGGTGGCCACGCCCTCCACCCACACCCCCAAGCATCATCTGCATGCGATGGGGCATGAGGGCGGAGTCTTGTCCTCGCTGCCCGGCTGCCATGTCCTTGGCTGTGCTGCGAAACGTGGGCCATGCTTGGAGGAAGTGCTGGTTAGGAGGGGGCCATTGGGGGAGGCGGGGCTGAGGCAATGGCGTGCATGCCCATAGAGAGGGCTCTGAGTGCCGCCTCTGGCACGCGTGCCATAGGTTCACCACCACTGTCCTAGATCCTATTTGATGGCAATGCTTAAGACCAAGAGCTAGAGGCCACTTCTTTGTGTTCTTCCAGAAGTCGGCTTGACTGCTGATCTACTATTTATTCCAAAAATAGAGTCCAATGGAGGTGGATAGCTATAATAAATTTGAATATAATAATAACAAATGTACTCCCTAAGGTTACTGGCCCACTGAGTGCCATACCAAAATTCTGGACACCACTTAGAAAATCTGCACATTGACAAAATTTCCATCTGACAATTACAAAGTCCACACTGCTTGGTCTACACAAATACTACATCCCTAGGACATCCTAGGTTCTGGAGAAGAACTCGATGTGTATAAAGACCAACATTGGCTAAAGAACTTCACCTTTTGAATATATAATAATAGTCTAATATCTTTGGATTAGATGTCAAGGCATACAACATTGTACAATAATCAAACCCAGAAATTGCAGCAAATGCACCACAGTTTTACGATCATATTTTTCCAGTTACATATCAACAGAACCTGATGAAGATGCTCTTAACCAGGGGTCTTCAAACTTGGCCCTTTTATGACTTGTGGACTTCAACTCCCAGAATTCCTCAGCCAGCGTCTGCTAATTACCTCTTGTAAATAAAGGGTAGCGAGTAGATAGGCAAATTCCCACTCTTACATTTCCTGAGGCTCAACCAGCAGTAGCCAGGAACTAGATTAGGATCCATATTCAGTCATATCAAATACAGAATTTATCACATGGATAGGCAGATTATTCAACTCTCTCCCTTTTTTTGCAAAAAAATATATTTAAAGGTCTTCATTTTTTAAAATCAAGGCAGAGGTGGCTGGCATTCCCCCTACAGCTGTGCCTTAAATTTACAAGAAGGAAAAGGACTTTTTTCCCCTACAAAATAAGCAACCTGCTCAAGCATTTCCAAGTGTCACAAATTACACATATTGTCCAAATATAAACTGGCCACTTTGGCATTCTCACTACCCCACATTCATAACTTACATTAAAATGTGGTTTCAACTTCTGAAAAATCCAAACGAACAATTGTTTTCAAGTTGACATAAGCCTATAATTCTGTTGAGGAACCCATAAACATCTAGCAGTAAGATGATTATAGCAACATGTGCTTTCTAATCAGACTTTGTACTTTAGCTAAAGGGGGGGGGGCGCAATGGCTCAGCAGCTAAAGATGCTGAGCTTGTCAGCTGGAAATCTGACAGCCCAGGTACGCGACTTGGGTGTCACACAGCAGGGTGAGTCCCGCTACTTGGCCCAGATCCTATCCACCTAACACAAGGGTTGGCAACCTTAAACACTCAAAGAGCCACTTGGACCCGTTTTCCAGAGAAAAGAAAACACTGGGAGCCGCAAAACTGTGTGCGCGCAGGCAAGGGGTGGGGACCTTGACTGAAGAGTTTAATTAAAAAGAAATAGAGGCTGCTGTGCGCAAGTTCTCTCTCTCTCTCTCTCTCTCTCTCTCTCTCTCTCTCTCTCTCTCTCAACTTCTGCTCACCTGGCAAGCTGGCTTCATGCTGTTCTCCAACAAGCTGACACACATTCTTATTGGGCTGGCTCCCTCCTCTGTGTGTGTGTGTGTGTTAGAAAGAGAGAGAGAGAGAGAGAGCTGCTGCTTCCTGCTTAGACGCAGCAAAAGCAGGAGCCCCGCCCAATAAGCTTGTCAGCTTGTCCAAGAACAACGTGAGACCACTTTCTTTTTTACACACACACACACAAGAGAGAGAGACAGAGAGAAGGGAAGCGCAAGTGCCTCTCTCTGTCTCTGTCTCTCTCTCTCTGCAAATGGCGGAGGAGGCTGGGAGCCGCAGGAGAAGGCTCAAAGAGCCACATGCGGCTCCAGAGCTGCAAGTTGCCGACCCATGACCTAGCCATTTGAAAGCATGCAAATGCGAGTAGATAAATAGGGTTGCAGCATCTCAGTGTCATGTGATCCCTTTTGCGACTTTCTGACAAGCCAAGTCAATGGGGAAGCCAGATTCATTTAACAACCGTGTTACTAACTTAACTGCAGTGATTCACTTAACAGATATGGCAAGACAAGTTGTAAAATGGAGAAAAACTCACTTAACAAATGTTTCATTTAGCAACATAAATTTTGGGGCTCAGTTTTTGTGGTCATACATTGAGGACACCCTGTACTTAAAACGCAGGACCAACTCAGATTTATCTGCTGTATTCTCTCCTTTTATAGAGAAATACTGTATACTGCTTGTTGCATTTCAAGCAGGACTTTGGCTTCCCAGCTGCAGCGATCCAAAGGACTTCGGGGGGGGGGGAAGAACAGTGCCCTACTCATCATAAAAAGAACCTGGATTTCAGCACAGTAAAGCAATACTATTGTGTGCCCTGAAATTTTGCATTTTTCTGCCCTCTTCTCAAATTACCTCCAGGAGGAATAACTGATATTTAAAATCATAACTCCCACATGGCTTATTTATGTATTTCTATCATTCTTTCTCAGACTGGCATTAAGAGCAAAACAGGTCCGTCTATTTATAAACAAATGCACGCACATCTGAACATAATAAGCTTCTGGGCAAATATATATATACATATATACATGTGTGTGTGTGTATGTATATGTGTGTGTGTCTATATAAATGTGTGTATATATATATATATAGAGAGAGAGAGAGAGAATACATATATGTGTGTGTGTGTGTATGTGTGTGTGTGTATGCACACGCACATACACACATATATATGTATTCTCTAACTATTTACTATTTGAAATCTTAAGATGGTTTGGCGAATAGCAGCACTGGGTCAGTTTTAATAGGCCATCTTTAATCTTGTCTTGTATTTTGCTTAGTCAAGCACTTCCCAATTCCTTTCAATCCCATTAAGGCAATCATTATTACCAAGCGTTGCAAATCTTCTCAGTAAAAAAAAAAAAAAAAACTGGATAGTTCTTACAGTTTTATTCTGTACATTCCAGAGGCCTGGACCAATTCATACGTCTCATTAATATCTACACATACACACACACACACACATATATAATTCTGGTTAAGCTACAGTGGCCTGCTTCACCCCATCCACTTTGCCACCGTGGATGGGTGAATGAGGCTGCAGATCAGAATACAGAATGACACCCGCAGGATTGGTGTAACATATTCTGGACTGCGTTATCATTTCAGGCTTCAAGGCTTTTAATCACCTAAGTATCTTAGAAGGTGAGCCATCTACAGAGGTAGCCACAGGGGATGGTGAAAAAAGTCAAGGTAGCCCCCCCCCAACAGCACAATTGAAGCTCTGCCTGGAAGCACCTATGGAATCGGTGCAGGACTATTCATTATCTAGGTATTATGAAAAATAATTTCTGAACCCAAGATCATTGATTACATGGGGAAACCTTAGCTTATAGAACCACTTGGATTACTTGATGCTCTTTCTAAAAAGCCAGCTCTTGCAAAAGGATGAAACCAAACACAAGCCCACGTGCAGAATCCAACCTGTCATTTAACACATTTATTTATTTATTTTTAAAATTTATAAGCCGCCCCACTCCCGAAGGACTCTGGGCGGCTAACAATAAAAAACACATAAAACATAACAAAACAACAATACAAAAACAATCATCCAGGGGTAAGTTTTTATAAACCCCAGGCCTGCCGGAAAAGCCAGGTCTTAAGTAGCTTATGGAAGACCAACAGGGTGGGAGCGGTCTTAATCTCCGGGGGGAGCTGGCCCCCATTGACTTTTATTTGGACTTCCGGGGGGGGGGGTATGGATTCGTACACTGTGCATGGTTCATTGGCTCTGTATTAGCCTGTGATATAAAGGACGGAGTGGACAGACCATTGACTGAGAACTAAAAGTAAATAACAGGAAGGAAGACATTAGGAGTGCACTGCATGTTCTTCATGTTTGCTGGGTTCACTCAACCCTCTAGACCAGTGCTGGCGAACCTTTAGAGACCAAGAACCCAAAAACTGGCCCTGCCCCCACTCCACCCCCTTGTCCCACCCCTGCTCAGCCCCCCATCCCTCGCCCCACCTGCCCACAGGACCTCTCACCACCTCCAGGGCCCCCCGCAGATTGCTCAGGCAGCCCAGCAGTGCTATGGCGGCCACGCCCTCTGCCCGCGCCCTGCAGCATCATGGTGGGGTGTGAGGGCAGAGTCTTGTCTAGACTGCCTGGCTGCCATGTCCTTGGCTGCGCTGCTCTGTGTGGGCCACGCTCAAGGGCGATTCTCCTTCAGGGGGGCTGCTGGAGAGGAGGGGGTCACGGGGGAGGCAAGGCTGGGGCAATGGCACGTGTGCCCACAGAGAGGGCTCCAAGTGCCACCTCTGGCACCCGTGCCATAGGTTTGCCACCACTGATCTAGGCCAGACATGTCAAACTCGCGACGTCACATGACGTCGCACAACGTATCGGGATGGTTTTGCCATTGCCGGCAACGGGGTGGGCGCGGCTTTCGGATGATGCGTCCGGCCCGTGGGCCAGCAGTTTGACACTCCTGCTCTAGGCTAAAATACAACCGCGAGTGTCTGATGTAGCAAAATAAAAGAGTTTGTGTAGGTGGGTACAGCCTGGCACATACAGATAAGAAAGTACGTTTTTGCTAATGTTCATGCTTATCTTACCGTGATTTCAGCTGTCTCATCTGAATATGGAGTACTTCACGTCTACCTTGTAATAATTTGAGTTTCTAGGTTCTTGTCCGTTAAGCGATAGACCAGACTCTGCAGATCCTTACACATAAACTGTTTGGTGACCGAGTGCTGGGTTTCTGATCTTGATTGAATAGGTCAGGGTTTCTAACACTTCTACCAGTCCAGGCTGGCCGGGGAATTCTGGAAGTTGAAATCCACACATTTTCCACACTGCCAAGGTTCAGGAACACTGGCGTAGATAAATGAACCAGGATGTTCTCCGGTCGTCGTACAAGAGAAGAAATAAGAATCACTGGTCCTCATGAGGTTTCTCTCCAGCAATCCATAGGAAGGCGTCTACTATGCTCAGCTCCACATTGTGGTGCCTACTCCCTAGAGTTGGGTTACTCAGCTCCACGTTGGGTGCCTACTCCTAGAGTTGGGTTACATGTTTCAGGTGGTTCACAATAGCTTACAGCACGTTGCGTGTAGGAGTCTGCAGGGCTTCAAACTCAAGTCCAAAAACTGCTTCAAAGGACTCCTTGGAATGTCTGCAAATCTTGAAAACAACTCTATCGTTTCTTGGAATCGTGTGAAATCAGCCCTGAAAGAACAGCAGGCTGCATTTACATTCCAGGGCATCTTCTTCTTCAAAACGTGGCATAAATCTAACTTGTGTAAACATTGGTTTAAAGCTAACCTTGTGTAGATGGGAACTTGTTTTCTCTTATCCTAAGGGCCCTGCCGGGACTACCTGCACCTGCCTGAAGCCAGGCTCACTATGTTGTAGGTCTCTCTCTCTCTCTCTCTCTCTCTCTCTCTCTCTCTCTCTCTCTCTCTCTCTCTCTCTCTCTCTCACACACACACACACACACACACACACACACTTTTTCTCTCTCTCACTCTCTCTCTCTCCCTCTCTCTCACTCTCTCACTCTCTCTCTCATTCTCTCTCTCTCTCTCTCTCTCACACACACACACACACACACACACACACTCTCTCTCACTCTCTCTCACTCTCTCACTCTCACTCACTCTCTCTCACTCTCTCTCTCTCACACACACACACATTCTCTCTCTCTCTCTCTCTCTCTCTCTCTCTCTCTCTCTCTCTCTCTCTCTCTCTCTCTCTCGTCTTCCTTAAATTCAGCAACCTGGAAATGAAATGGCCGTCATGACTGCATTCCAAAAATCAAAATATATCCAAGCCATTGTTTACGGCTTATAAAAACCGTCATCTCCCAGAAAGGGTTGGAATGACGATCTAAATCCAGTGCAAAGGCATGCTTCCTTGGCTTAACACCTAAGATTAGGGTTTAATCCAGCACATCCGAATAGGACCATATTTTCTTGATTACAAATTAGCTTCAGACTCAGACATTCTCAATCCAGTTGGTCTGCCTGAAGGTGAAGGAGAAGGGAGGGGAAAAAAAAAACTTGGGAGTTCGTATCAGGGGTTAAATAAAATAGATGTTTGTTTGTTTTTAATGGTATGCATGGCAGGGATATTTTCCAGTGCACTAAGTCTGTGTTTCTGACTGAGAGAGAGGATGGATGGATGGATGGATGGATGGATGGATGGATGGTCTATCTACCTACCTAAGATCTGTTCTAAGATATTCAACTGGGTTTGTGTTCCTGAGAGCTACATTAATAGAATTACTGCTTCCGTGCCCATCGCACAAGTTCCCAGAGGAACACATTTCCGAGTCAGGGATTTTTAAGAATGCATCATAGTGGGGGAAATGGCCAGATTCATCAAACGTGGGCTAAGGGAGGGATGCTAAATCGCAAGACCTAAACTGCGATGGCTGGGATTCGTGCATCTTAAATCTTCTAAACTGTTCCCTTTGTGAACGGGATGGAAGCTTAAGTTCCTTTCATTCCTTGCCACGCGTTTATCCCCAAAGTTTCCCAAAGAGAAGAAAAACGAATGGTAAGATCCTCTTTCTCCCCCCCCCCCAGTGTCCTTTGCTGTACAAGCGGAGACTTAACACACAAAGACGGAAGGAATCAGGCGGGATGAGGAAAGCAGTGGACTGAGACGAATGAACAGAATACCAGAACTGGACGGGACCTTGGAGGTCTTCCAGTCCAGCCCCCTGCTCAAGCAGGAGAGACCCCATACCCCTGTCGACAAAGGCTGGTCCAGTTATCTGAATCTCCCGGCAAAAGAAGGAAAGAAAGAAAGAAAGAAAGAAAGAAAGAAAGAAAGAAAGAAAGAAAGAAAGAAGGAAGGAAGGAAGGAAGGAAGGAAGGAAGGAAGGAAGGAAGGAAAAGAAAGAAAGAGAAAGGAAGGAAGGAAGAAGGAAGGAAGGAAGAAGGAAGGGAAAGAAAGAAAGAGAAAGAAAGAAAGAAAGAAAGAAAGAAAGAAAGAAAGAAAGAAGAAAGAAGGGAAAGAAGGAAGGAAGGAAGGAAGAAAAATAAGGAAGGAAGGAAGGAAAAGAAAGAAAGAGAAAGGATGGAAGAAGGAAGGAAAGAGGAAGGAAGGGAAAGAAAGAGAAAGGAAGGAAGGAAGGAAGGAAGGAAGGAAGGAAGGAAGGAAGGAAGGAAGGAAGGGAAAGAAAGGAAGGAAGGGACAAGGAAGGAAGGAAGAGAAAGAAAGAAAGGAAAGAAAGAAGGAAGAAAGGAAGAAAAATAAGGAAGGAAGGAAGGAGGAAGGAAGAGAAAGAAAGGAAGGAAGGAAGAGGAAGGAAGGAAGAGAGAGAAAAGAAAGATAAGGAAGGAAAGAAGGAAGGGAAAGAAAGAAAGAGGAAGGAAGGAAGAAGGAGGAAGGAAGGGAAAGAAAGAAAGAGAAAAGAAGAAAGAAATAAGGAAGGAAGAGAAAGAAAGGAAGGAAGGAAGAGGAAGGAAGGAAGAGAAAGAAAGAAAGGCTGGCTCACCTTCAGCCGAAGCTCGGCTGTTTGCAGTCTCCTTTTTGCAGACGGGTGATAAAGCCGCGCTTCTCCTCGGAGGGAACCCCCAGGTCACTATCGAACGTTCAACCGATTCCTGCCCATTATGACGTCACAAAAAAGCGGACCGGCGTGGGGGGGGTCTCTCGGTCCTCGCCACCCCCGCCCCTCGGCTGGAATTGGTGGCGCGGCTCGGCTAAAGGGAGGAGGCCGCTCCAGATGTTCGCCTGGACGAGCCAGGAAGACGCCGGGCTGCTGCTGCTGTTCCTACGGGGGCCGCGGGGCGGGGTGGGAGGATCTCCCGTCCCGCTGAGCCGGTCCCTGGCGGGGGGTCTCCGCTTGGGCGACCCGTGACCCGTCCGAGCGTGGGGAGCGAAAATGGTGTTGCTGCCCCAGTCGTGCAAGGAAGGTCAGTGGCTGCTTTTGTCCCCGTTCCTGGAGAGTCTTAATTTCGCCTTCCCGCCTGGGTCAGTGAGGGAGCCGCGTTTGTGTCGTTGAGACGGGAGCACCTTCCTGTTAGCCCTATCAGTCATAGTAGGGATAGTAGCAGAGTCGCTAGTAGATAGGGATTGGCGGGGGGGGGGAGGTGGTAGGCAAGCTTTGCGCCCCCGCGCGTGTTCCGTCTGCAAATCCTACGCGTTTAAAGTCTCCCAATCGTTGCGTCTTTAAGAAGGAGTTGGCCCCTGTAGAATAGCTTCTACTATAGGATAGAGTTGGCACCTCTAAAATAGAATAAACTCTACTATAGGATAGAGTTGGCACCTCTAGAATAGAAGAGATTCTACTATAGAATAGAGTTGGCATCTCTAGAATAGAATAGGATAGTGTTGGCACTTGTAGAATAGAATAGATTCTACCATAGGATAGGGTTGGCACCTGTAGAATACAATAGATCCTACTATAGGATAGGGTTGGCACCTGTAGAATAGAATAGATTCTACTATAGGATAGGGTTGGCACCTGTAGAATAGAAGCGACTCTACTATAGGATAGAGTTGGCACCTGTAGAATAGAATAAATTCTACTATAGGATAGGGTTGGCACCTGTAGAATAGAATAAATTCTACTATAGGATAGGGTTGGCACCTGTAGAATAGATTAGATCCTACTATAGGATAGGGTTGGCACCTGTAGAATAGAATAGATTCTACTATAGGATAGGATTGGCACCTGTAGAATAGAATAGATCCTACTATAGGATAGGGTTGGCACCTGTAGAATAGAATAGATTCTACTATAGGATAGGATTGGCACCTGTAGAATAGAATAGATCCTACTATAGGATAGGGTTGGCACCTGTAGAATAGAATAGATTCTACTATAGGATAGGGTTGGCACCTGTAGAATAGAAGTGACTCTACTACAGGATAGAGTTGGCACCTGTAGAATAGAATAAATTCTACTATAGGATAGGGTTGGCACCTGTAGAATAGAATAGATCCTACTATAGGATAGGGTTGGCACCTGTAGAATAGAATAGATCCTACTGTAGGATAGGGTTGGCACCTGTAGAATAGAATAAATTCTACTATAGGATAGGGTTGGCACCTGTAGAATAGATCCTACTATAGGATAGGGTTGGCACCTGTAGAATAGAAGAGACTACTATAGGATAAGGTTGGCACCTGTAGAATACAATAGATCCTATTATAGGATAGGGTTGGCACCTCTAAAATAGAATAGATTCTACTCTAGGACAGGGTTGGCACTTGTAGAATAGAATAGATTCTACTGTAGGATAGGATTGGCACCTCTAAAATAGAATAGACTCTACTATAGGATAGAGTTGGCACCTCTAGAATAGAAGAGATTCTACTATAGAATAGAGTTGGCGTCTCTAGAATAGAATAGAGTTGGCAGCTGTAGAATAGAAGCGACTACTATAGGATAGAGTTGGCACCTGTAGAATAGAATAGATCCTACTATAGGATAGGGTTGGCAACTGTAGAATAGAATAGATCCTACTATAGGATAGGGTTGGCACCTGTAGAATAGAAGAGATTCTACTATAGGATAGAGTTGGCACCTCTAAAATAGAATAGACTCTACTATAGGATAGGGTTGGCACCTCGATACTGTCAACAGGTACGTGTGGTGCAGGCAGAACATAAGCAGACTGAATGGAGCAGCTTTCTTAAGTGGATTGCAACAGCTAGGGACAGACAAAATGATCAACTACAAATTGATTTAGTTTAAATCTGAAGGGCTTTAAACGAACATTGAAAGGGGAGGGTGACCAATCTTTAGGATCTTTAGGACCAAATCCAAAGCATAAGTATGAGGAAGTGTGAGAAGGAAGGGGAACTCAGTGATAAAAAAACCCAGGGTCAGCCTGTAAAGGACTCACTAAAGCAGTGGTTCTCAACCTGTGGGTCGAGACCCCATTTGGGGTCGAACGACCATTTCACGGGGGTCGCCAAACAACAGTCCGCCATTTTTCCCCCCTTTTCCTTAGCTGTGCTACTCCCTTTTATTCTATTGGCATTTGAAAGCCAATGGAATAGACTCTCTTGAATAGAGTCTAATTCTACTGGCTTTCAAAAGCCAATAGGAATTGTCCAGGCTGTCTCTGCCGTGCTAAGCCCACCAAAAGTCCCATTCTGCAAACGGTGCTGCAAGTTGTCTGCAGCGAAGGCGAGCTGTCTGGAAGTTTCCACCCCTCCCTGCTGAGCAACTACTAAAAATGTAAGTAAAAGAGGGCCGGGGGTGGGAGGTGGGAGGCCGGCGGGTGCAGGGAGGGTTGCTGGCATGCGTGGGGCCCAGTGGGTGCCTTACCTCCTTTGGGCTGGGCCAGCTGGTGGCCTGCGTCGGCCTGCGCCATCTCTGCCACTTACGACCGGTTGGGTAGTCCTCGACTTACGACCAGTTGGGGTCACGGCATTAAAAAGGTTGAGAACCACTGCACTAGGATGTCTCTGCACTAATGCTCAAAGTATGAGGAATAAAAACAGGGTGAACCTGAAGTCCTAGTACAGGAGGACAGTATGATTATAGTTGCCATTACCAAAAGTTAAGATGAAACTCGTGACTGGAATGTACTGCTGGAAGTGTATAAACTGTTCAAAAGAAACAGACGTAACAGAAGAGATGGCAGGGTTGCATTATATGTAAGAAACAGGTACACCTCTACAGAAATGCATAAAACCAAGGGTGAACGCCACCTTGAATGCATGGGGGTTAATATAAAAGAGAAAAATAAAGAAATGACATTGCCATAGGTGTATACTATAGGTCAGTGGTGGCAAACCTATGGCACGCGTGCCAGAGGTGGCACTCAGAGCCCTCTCTGTTGGCACGTGCACTACTGCCAGCAGCAGGTCCATCAGGCCGCCACTGCTGCCCGGAGCAAGAGCCCCACTCAGCACAAAGGAGGCGAAGTGGCCGACTAGCAAGCTCCAGTAGAGGTGGTAGAGCAGAGGTCACCAACCATTGTTGATTGGTGGACTGGAAGAAAAGGGGGAAGCATTTTGCATGCGTGCACGGGGCCACAAGCACGCATGTGCTGCAAATGGGGTGGGGCTAGCGCCTGCGTGATACTCACTAGCCCTGCCCCATTCTTGCGTGGTGCAACGCCTTATATCTGCACCCCGTGGTGCGGTGGCGGCTATTTTTGCACCTTGCAGCACAGTGGCCCATTTTTGCGCCCCCGGTTTTTGCATGCCAGAGGTGGCACTCAGAGGTCCCTCTATTATGGTTCCGGCTAATGAAACACTTCAAAATCTTCCAGGCATTTATTTTCCTAAAAGTCAGTGATTGTTACAAAATGTTGGCACATGCATAATGGAGGGAGGCTAGGATCTAAGTTCTCATTATCCAATTAGTGTGAAGGTCAAATGTTTCCTTCCTCTTTCTTTCCCGGGCTTTACCCCCAACCCTCTTCTGCTCTGTATTAACCCCATAAATACCAGACAGTTCTGCATATTGTCAAAAGCAAGAATATACGATATTTGCAGCGTTGACAGCCTCCCTGCGTCCTTGAGGGCACCACAATGCTGATAGGCCCCTGGCACTTTGCAATAAATAAATGGGTTTTGGGTTGCGGTTTGGGCACTCGGTCTCTAAAAGTTTTGCCATCACTGCTATAGGTCACCCAACTAAAGAGAAGAAATAACGAACATTCTGCCAATGAGCTAAACAAAGTGTGCAGGAAATGCACCACAGTAATAATGGGTGACTTTAACTAACCTGACATCAACTGGGAGATCAAACTCTGCAGCAACTGGGAGATCAAACAGGTTTCTGATCAGCCTAGCTGACAACTTTGTCATTCCAGAAGATAGAGGAGGGAACTGGAGGATCCGCTGTTCTGGACTTAATTCTCACTAATAGAGATGAAATGATAGAGAGGGTGGAAGTTGCGGGAATTAATGGTCATTAAGCAAGAACTTATTTTCTTCCGTCAAGTGCTCGGTTGGTGACATGGGATAGTTTTTTTTTTATTATTATTCTCTTGGTCTAGTTTTCTCCCTTAATGCACTGCAGCTCTGGGGTGCAGCTGTACACGGTGGTGGGATTCAGATATGTGAACAACCGGTTCTCTGTGTGGATGCCACTTCCGGAAGTCTGTTCTGGGCTGTGGGGAAAACTGCACGCGCAGCAAATTGCCATGCTTTCTCCCCCCACAAACCTCATAACCTCTTGATACCCTTTGTCCCAATGAAGCAGCCAAAAGGTCATCCCCTTTTAACTTAATACCTCACCTACCTAAATAGATAATATGCTTAAGTTACTTCCTATCTCTTCCTGCCTTTGTCAGTTCTTTCTCCTTTTGATCTACTGTATTTGTTCTTTACCTGGTCTCTGATCAGGTAATATATATTACTAGAAAATAGTTGCTTATATGAAGGAATTTTCCAATGCAGAAACTTTATGTCAGCATCTAATGGTTAAACTTATGAATGTAAAATGTCAGCATTTAATGGCAAAGCCTATGTATGTAAAAAGTATATAAAAACCAATAAACACACAGAGACTCTCAAGCTGTCTCAAGCCGTGACAAGCAGCTCTGCAGCAGCTTCAAATCTCTGCTCAAGACATGCCTGAGTCTTTTTCTTAGCGTCTTTACACTGGGCTTGGGCAACAAAAAATTAGCTATCAGTTCTGCCAAAGGGGTGCAAACTGGCTGAATCCCATCCCCAGCTGTACATCATCTCGGTGTCGTAGTAAGCGAGCTAACCTGATGGAAGGAGAGTTTGTTTTGCTAAGCCTGTGGATCAGCTCTGCAAGCATTTTCTAAACATATGTGGACCAGGTGCTCAGCCCATTGTTTTGTTGTTCTTCTAGGGGAAGTGTTTCCTTTGGCTTGCCCCAACGCTCAACATGCGTGGTGCCAGATCCTCAACATATCAGAGCTACAAGCTTCTTTCTTTGCCTATTCGGGAAGATACCCCAACGAAACAATGTTGAATGTTTCCACTCCGCAAGGAAGCAAATATAGTTTATACCTGGGTGTCGCATTGGCCATCGGCTCCAGTATCTTTGTGGGATCCAGCTTTATACTGAAAAAGAAGGGCCTTCTGCGAATGGCGGCAAAAGGTTTCACGAGAGCTGGTAAAAAATAAATAAAAAATAGATACGGCTTTTAAATATTTTTTTTTTTTAAATTTGGAATCCAATCTGAGCTTGTCTATCTCCAGGGTGTATTTAATATGAGGCAATTCTGGTTTTTAGGTGGGTTTTTTTCCCCTGTCCTATTGTTGGAGGTCTGAGAAGAGGGGGGCTTTTTGACAGTAAATAATTACTAAAGAAGATAAGGTGACTAACCGTCGTCCTTTAGGGAGGACAGTCCTCCTTTTGTAAGTTCTGTCCTCTCTCGAAAAGTGTCCTCCTACATGTCCTCCTTTTTGATATTTGAAGACTAAAATCTGTAAATCTCCGTATTCGATCGATGCCGAGCCGATCTGTTGCGTGTGATGTGACGTATTTGTATTTGACATGACGATTCGTCAAGGCTCAGTACAGTGCGGCGAGACGCGATTATGAGACGTATGCGCTCCGCACAGGAGAATTGTTTTGAGAGAGTGCACCGCGTGCAAGAGTGCGCCGCGCGCAAGAGTGCACCGCACGCAAGTGGCTTTGTTTACTTCTTACCGAAACACGACACGGCACACACGCACGCATTAGACTCACTTTTTTTTCTTCAATTTATTTGTGTCCTCCTTCTCATTGTAAAAAAGTTGGTCACCTTAAAGAAGAGTTGTTGGGGAAAAAAATTACATCCACACTATTTTGATCTTTACATGTGTACAAAACTTTTCAGCCCACAAGTGGTCTTGAAACGACTTAAATTAGGTGAAAGAAATTTAATTACTCTTCTGTTAACTAAGTTTAATAACTTAGTTCCTATTTAACTCACACCCATAATACGGTAGGTTTATTTGCTTTTTATCCCATCTTCGTTATTGTTTATAAATAACTCATTCTCTTTTGCAAACATTCCTAAAAACCCTTTTCCTGTGAAGTGAGTTGGGCTGAAAGGAACTGGCCCAAATTCACTCAGCCTGGCTTTCATGCCTAAGACAGGTCTAGAACTGACAGTATCCTGGTTTCTAGGCCAGGGCCTTAATTTCTTCCTAAGTGATCTGGATGAGGGAATAGAAGGAGCAACTCGTCAAATTTGCAGATGACACCAAACTGGGGGAACTGGAAGATAGATTGAAGATTCAGAAAGATCTTGATTGGGCTCTAGCCAACAAGATGCAGTTCAGTGGTGAAAAAAGCCAGATCCTGCACTTAGATAGGAAAAAGAACAGAAAGTACAGAAAGAGTATAGAGAAGAGCAACAAAGATTATTAGGGGACTGGAGGCTAAAACATATAAGGAACGGTTGCTGGAATTGGGTATGTCTAGTTTAAAGAAGAGAAGGACGAGGGGGGACATGATAGCAGTCTTCCAATATCTCAGGGGCTGCCCCAAAGAAGAGAGAGTCAAGCTAATCTCCAAAGCACCTCAAGGCAGGACAGGAAGCAACGGATGGAAACTAACTAAAGAGAGAAGCAACCTAGAACTAAGGAGAAACTTCCTGACAGTTAGAACAATTAACCAGTGGAACAGCTTACCTCCAGAAGCGGTGAATGCTCCAACACTGGAAGTTTTTAAGAAGCGACTGGACAGCCATTTGTCTGAAATGGTATAGGGCACAGGTCGGCAACCTGCGGCTCCGGAGCCGCATGCGGCTCTTTGAGCCTTCCCATGCGGCTCCCAGCCTCCTCTGCCTTTGCAGAGAGAGACAAAGACAGAGAGAGGAATTGCGCTTCCCTGCTTCTCTCTCTCTCTCTCTCTCTGTGTGTGTGTGTGTGTGTGTGTGTGTGTTCTGTGTGTGTGTGTGTGTGTGTGTGTGTGTGTGTGTGTGTGTGTGTAAGAAAGAGAGTGCACTCACAGTGTTCTCCGAGGAGCTGAAAAGCTTACTGGGCGGAGCTCTTCCCTTTGCTGCGTTTCTGCAGGAAGCAGGAAGGGCAGCAGAGAGTTAGCTAGCCCAGCTAGGCTGACTCAGGAATTCTGGGAGTTGAAGTCCATGAGTCATAAAAGAGACGAGGTTGCCTACCCCTGATCTTGTTGACAACAGCCTGAAGCTTGTCAGGTGAGCAGCAGATAGGAGAGGGGGGGAGAAAGAGAGAGAGAGAGGGAGAGAGAGAGAGAGAGAGGAAAGAGAGAGAGAATAAGAAAGAGAGCGGGGGAAAAGGAGTGGCAGACCAAGGGCAGATAGAGAGGGAGAGAGAGAGAGAGAGAGACCCTTTTGACATCTAAAATGAAGATAACACTGCATATATCCTTTTTTTTACCTCTGTGTGTGTGTGTGTGTGTATGTATATATATATACATACATACATATACATATACATATATATATACACACACACACACACACAAACACACACACACAAACACACATACACCTATAATAAAGGTAAAAAAGGATATATGCAGTGTTATCTTCATTTTAGATATCAAAATGGTTTTGCGGCTCCCAGTGTTTTGTTTTTGGTGGGAAACGGGTCCAAGTGGCTCTTTAAGTGTTTTGGGTTGCCTACCCCTGGTATAGGGTTTCCTGCCTGAGCAGGGGGTTGGACTAGATGACTTCCAACTTTATTATTATTGTTGTTATTGTTGTTGTTATAAAAACAAATGCACAGGTATAGACTAGGTCAGTGGTTCTCAACCTTTCTAATGCCGTGACCCCATAATACAGTTCCCCATGTTGTGGTGACCCCCAAGTGGGTGTGGCCACCAATAAGAGGGAGTAGCACAGCTAGGGAAAAGGGAACAAAATGGTGGACAGCATGGTTTGGCGACTCCCATGAAATGGTCATTCGACCCCAAATGGGGTCCCGACCCACAGGTTGAGAACCACTGGACTAGGTAGTACATGGCCCTACAATAGTAACTAGTAGTGAGAAATATCTAAGTATCCTAGTGCAGAGATCCCCAACCCCCAGTCCGTGGACCGGCAGTGATGCACAGCATGGCAGAAACTTGCTGCACAAGCAACGAAGCCCCATATGCAGAATGCAGGCAGTACATGAAACCACGCCCTCTCCGGTCCATGAAAAAACCTTTCTCCACGGAACCAGTCCCCGGTATCCAAAAGGTTGGGAGCCGCTATCCTAATGGACCATCCCTTAGGTATCAGACAACAGTTTGCAATGCCAAAAAGGTCATTGCAGTCCACAGAGGGATAGCATCAAGATCACAAGAAGTGATGGTACTGTTTTATACTGCCCTCGTGAGGCCACACTTGGAATGCTGCATCCAGTTTTGGTCACCATGATGCAAAAAAGACGTCAAAGCTCTAGAAAAAGTGCAAGGTCACTTGTCCGGGATACCCTAAGATCTCCTGCCTTGGGCAGAGGGGTTAGACTAGAAGACCTTCAAGGGTCCCTTCCAGCCCAAAGCTCTATGGTTCTTATTATTAAAGAATTGTTGCCGATATAATTCTCCCTTTGGTTACAATGGAATAAGGATGACTCCCAAAAAATTCTCCTTTGCAGACAATATTGGAAAAAGAGTACGTATTTGAACAGAAAGGTGAGTTGTAGGTTTTTCTTCTGAAAATGTTTCTTTTTTCCTGTTTCCTAGGAGAGGGGGGCTATTCTTATCTCAAAGAATGGTTATGGTGGGCAGGATTGCTTTCAAGTAAGTATTAAAGCTTCAAAACTTTTCAATTTATTTACATGTAGCTATTTTTTTTTTTTTTTTGCACACTTCTTGCTAAAAAAAAAAAACCTGGCAGTATATTTGTTACTAGTTAGACTTCCTCTGCCTCAATATTACTGCGATATGAATGGAAAAAGCAGGTCCATGTCCATTTGTCAGAAATTCTTCTTGTGGAAGGGCTGCAGTGTGAGTGTTCTATCCCAGCCTATGTGAGTCCTTGTTAACTCACAAGGACAATCCCCTCTTTTAACAAGTAGGCTGGAAATGCAGGAAAAACAAACCCTTTTTATAAATTAGGTACAGACCTGCAAAATGTCCCCAAAGCAAAGGCAAACAAAACACGATGTAAACGGAGAATTGTCCAAGGCAAACAAAACACAATTCAAATGGAGAATTGTTCACAGGCAAGGCAAATGAATCTGATTCCATGAAACTTGAGTCCTTTGCAAACGGTTGCCTTCAGCAACCAGCACCGCCCACACCTTCCCTTTTTATTATGCAGCGCCAAGGCGTGGCTTCTCAATGCCTTCTCCTCCTCCCTTGGAGTCGCCCCATTGCCTCCCTCTGTCCTGCTCTTGTTGCCTGTCTGCGTTTACGAGCGTCTATGATGTCTTCCAGCTGTGAGTCCTCAGAGTCTGACTCAGCTTCCCTGCACAGCTGGGTCTCAGTCTGAGCACAAGTGGAGGGGCCAGGCTCTTCATCAGATTGTAAGTCCTGGAGCTCATCAGAGCCTTCCTCTGGCTCTGATGGCTCTCCAGGCCCCTCCTCCTCCTCCTTCTCTGATTCCCTGGATTCAGCTTCCAGGTCCAGTGGTTGGCATGGACTCAACAACAGTGGGTCTTTTTATGCTTGTATGGTCTGTGGCAGATCAGGGCTTAAATGCACGAGAAAAAGTCTGTTAAAAAAGCATTCTGGAAGTTCAACCTGCAATTTACAAGCTGCAGTGTGGTCAATGGGACAATGGACTCATCTCTTCTATCCCTCCCCCCCCCATGCAATGGCAGGTGTGTGATAGATGGAATACCTGAAATAACACACTTGCTTATGAATTAAGAGTTAGATGTTGAATGCTAGCTGTTTCTTGGACAAATATCCACGTGTCATGTTTGCCATGCAGAGTATTGGTGATTTTGTAGTAACAATCCAGTCTACGGGGATGTCGGCTTACCCTCAGAAGGGAACGGTTAAGTCTCTTGTGTGGTACTCATGATTTGCAATCAATGTGGATGTTTACTTATTTTAATTGCATAGCTAAACCATTCCAATGGAGTATTTGGAGGCCTCGGATCTTACCGCCCTGGACAACCAGGTGGATGTGTCTACAGGAGGGGAGCAGTTTTAGCTGCTTTTCCCTCTCTCCTATTTTTTTGTTTTGTTTAAATTTCTTTTCGTTGCTTGGGTGGGAGAAATAAGTCAGAAACAAATCAGTGATAGAAAACTAGGAGTAGATATATGCTGACACTCCAGAACGTCTCCTCCCTGACGTTGAATTGATGGCTTTCTTGACAGCAACCCAGTTTCAGTAAGTGGCGGAAATGTAGGAGGATGAGACTATCGTGTTGTTGTTGTAGTAGTAATAGTTGTTGTTGTTGTTATTATTATTATTATTATTATTATTATTATTATTCATCTCTGAGGCTGAAATCTTCCATGTTGGGGAAATGGCACCATCCTCGGGAAACTGTATAGGGCAATCCATTTTTCAGTGTGCATCTCTGCACTCAGTTTGTGACTCAGCTACTATGTATAGATAAGGCAGATAAAAAGGTTTTCGTATTAGATTAGCATTAGTAAACAGTTTCAGTAAAAAGGGAGTGCTGAAATATTATAAAACATGGTTTATATTGCGAGGGATGATTATGGGATGCCATTCTCTTCCTTAACTTTTAATGAGGAATCTTTAGAAATGGATTGTTTCACTCTTTGTCTGTGTGTGGGTGGAGAGAGAGGGGGGAAGGGAGGGAGAGGGAGGGACAGGGAGGGGGAGGGAGAGGGAGGGACAGGGACAGGGGGAGGGAGAGAGGGAGGGACAGGGAGAGGGAGGGAGAAAGGGAGAGGGAGGGAGAGGGAGAGGGAGGGGGAAGGGAGGGAGGGGGAGGGGAAGGGAGAGAGGGGGAGAGGGAGGGAGGGAGGAAGGGAGAGAGAGAGAGAGAGTGTGTGTGTGTGTGTGTGTGTGTGTGTGTGTGTGTGTGTGTGAGAGAGAGAGAGAGAGAGAGAGATGTATGCTTTAATCGGTTCCAAAGATTATATCTCTGGAGTAATTCTAATTTGCTGTCGCTTTTGGCAGTGGGAATAGGAGAAGCTGCAAACTTCGCGGCCTACGCCTTTGCCCCTGCAACTCTAGTCACTCCACTGGGGACACTAAGTGTCCTTATAAGGTGAGTACAATTAATACACAGTACAATTGCTTTGCCAACTGAGACATCTGGGATTACAGTTCAAGCAGTGGCTTAATGGGACTGTAAGTTGCAGGCTCTCTTGCTCCTATTTTAGCTAAACCGTGTCCATATTGTCTTTCTAAAGCAGTGTTTCCAAAATTTGGCAACTTTAGGATGTGTGACAACGTACCACACTCCATATATGTTAGAATGTTGCAATATAAAGAGTTTTGGACTATGCATAAATACACAGCACTGCCCATAACTTGTGTTCCTGCAAAAATACATGTTTTTTTCCCCTAATATTGATTCTTTTAATATATATAGGATTTGAACTGAGAATCTGGCCTTGACAATTACATTAGCCAAGTACAGTAACAAAGTAGGTTTGTAAAGGCAATTGCATATAGACACACAATTTATATACTCTTTGGCTGTTAGGGGGGGCATCATTGGGGTCTCAGTCAAAAGACCATGTACAGTTCTTCATTTACTTCTCTTTAAAAAGTCAGGAAGAGCAGTTGTAAAGCTTGGCAGAGTTATTACTAAACTGCTCATATGGTGATGTGTCTAGGACGATAACAAAATAATAATAGTAATGTGCAAAAGTTGTCAATTTATAACACTGTTCTTGGTTCTTATTCGTTCTAGCTGTTCAGAACTTCAGTTTCTATGTTTGTTACATTCCTAAGGGTTCGACCTTTGCTTAATTTCTCCTTTTTTTGAAAATTCCAAACAGTGCAATATTGTCTTCCTATTTCTTGGATGAAAGGCTTAACATTCATGGAAAGCTGGGCTGTGTGTTAAGCATTCTGGGTTCCATAGTGATGGTGATCCATGCTCCCGAAGAGGAACAAATCACATCATTGGATGACATGGAAATAAAATTGAAAGATCCAGGTATGCTTACTAGAGAGCTATCATAGAATGTGATGACTCCCCCAGACACTTCCCCAGATGCCTCTTCATATGCTACTTCAGAGGAGGATGAGCCCATCCTGGGCATGTTAGGAGGAGAGGCAGCTGAGGGCTCTGAGCCAGGAATGGAGGGGCTGAGGCAGGGGAGTGACTGACGAACAGCTGGCTGAGCTAGAGGCAGGAGAGGCACAGCTGCAGCTGGGAAGCCCAGTGGAGAGGTCACACAGCTGGTCAGTGGAGAGGAAGAAGAACTGCTTCCTCTGCCCGATCCGAGAACACATAGGGCTGAGAGGAGGCAGGCACAATGGAGGTCAGCCAGGCTACTTGCAAGGAGGCAGCCTCATCCCTCTTGATGGGCTGCACCAGGAAGCAGTTATTTAACTCAGCAAGGGGAGTGAAATGATGCGGGGAACAATGTATCTGTTTCCTTGCTGTGTGTTCTTCAGCCATTATGATTCTTGCCTTGAACTTTGGATTGTGGCTTTTCAACCCAGGACCTGCCTTTGCCTTGGGGATTTGCTTTTGCCTAGTGGATTTGCCTTGCCCTTGCGCTATAGACTAACACTGGCTTCTTTTGAGTAGCCTGTTGAACTCATTGGGGTGGGCTGGTGCTGGCAAAGGGAATTGCTGGGGAATACTAACTCAGGCTTGGAAGCCTTAATAAAGACTCCTAACACCCAAGGTACGTTTGTGTGAGAGCGGGACAGCACATAGAATGAGCCTCAGTTACGAAAGTGTTTCATCATAAATGTATTTAAATTAGGCTAGAATCTATTTATTTGTCCTATAAACAGATATGGGATTTTGCATGGTCTTTTCGCATGTACAATGTTGCACCTGACATGGAGATGCTGAATGGAAATAGGCTAACACAGAAGGAGAAAGGATTCTGCTTCCAGACTGCTCCCAGGCTCTCGGTAACCGGAACATAGTGAAAATCAAATAACAGGATTTCAGGATTCCATCTCAGTGTTTCTCAACCTCAACCACTTTGAGATCTATGAACTTTGGAGTTGAAGTCCATACATCTTGAAGTTACTGAGGATGAGAAATACTGGCATAGGAGAAGCCTTACAATTAGATTTTGGCCAAGTGCGATTGGACACCCAACGAATTTCTCTCCAGTGCGTAAGTTCTCAGTGTACATACAAGCAACAAGAGATAAACCATGATCGTAATCATAAAATGCATTCATCATAAATCATAAGATACAACACTCAGTGATAGTCATAGGATACTAGCAATAAACATATATCATACTAGGAGACTAAATAAAACAATATAAACTGTAAAATACAAGCAACAAAGTGATAGTCATAAGAAGATAAGGAAACAGGTAATTGGAAAGATGAGAAAGATAATAGTAATACAGCCCTATTAAGTAATTTGAAAGTGTTGTGGGAATTAACTGTTTAGCAGAGTGATGGCATAGGGGGAAAAAACTGTGTGTCTAGTTGTTCTGATGTGCAATGCCCTATAGCAGACATGTCAAACTTGCGATGTCACATGACGTCACACGACGTATCGGAACTTTCCCCCCATTGATGGCAATGGGGTGGGCGCAGTTTCCTCGTGACGCATCCAGCCCACGGGCTGACAGTTTGACACCCCTGCCCTATAGCATCGTCTTGAGGGAAGAAGTTGAAACAGTTTACGTCAGGGGTCCCCAATCCCCAGTTCGTGGATCGGTAACAGGCCGCAGCATGCCTGCAACCGGTCCACACAAACAAGCAAAGCCCCATCCGTGGGATGCAGGTAGCACACAAAACCACACACTCTCCAGTCTGTGGGAAAACCTTTCTCCATGGAACTGGGTCCCGGTGCCCAAAAGGTTGGGGACCTCTGGTTTACATACAAGATCCTCGATGGAAGACAGGCTGGTAGCAATTTTTTTTTCCGTAGTTTTAACAATTTGTTAAAGTCTGTGTCTGTTTTGTTTGGTTGCAGTGCTTAAATTCAAACATGTTCTACTCTACCTCAATTTTTAGAAAAATATCCAAAGGTTTGAACCTAGGGTTTATCAGTTTCCCTCGTAATGTTTCTCACACAGTTCTAAAAAGCTGCCTTTTCCTGACTAGGAATGCAGTAGAAATTGGTATCAATAGGAATTATTTCATAAGTGGTTCTCCATTGATGGAACACTGGATCAAATGCACTTGATCACATAAACCAGACATGTCAAACACAAGGCCCGGGGGCCGGATGTAGCCCGCGAAGTGGTTTCATGTGGCCTGCAAAGCCCTCCTGGAAAGAGTGAGGGAACGGCCCCCGCTGCCTTGGACCTGGCCCAGGCCGACCGGGAGCCAATGTACAATTTTGTGGTGGCCATCTATGCTGAAACGCATTCAGTCTTAGCTCCACAAGGCCATCTAGAAACAGCGAGGAACCAGCCCCTGCCGTATCAGCCCCGCCCCCTGGGTGCATGCTGGGGAGGTGTCACTCTTTGTGAGGAATGAAGAAATGGACCATGCCTTGGCACTTGCCCCGGTCCCACCCCCTTCTGCCAGAGACTCTCAGATCTGTCCACTCATGCCCAGCCCCCACAGGCACCCTTGACGCGAACGATGTCGAGCTGGCCATGCCCACTCAGTAGGCCACACCCACTCCATCCATGCCCACCCAGTAGGCTGCACCCACCCAGCCCCCCCAAGGGCAACCGCAATGCTGGTGCAGCCCTCAATGAAATTGAGTTTGACACCCCTGACATAAACTGTGATTGGACATCTTTGCTCTTATCTCAATCCTAACGTGTTGTTGTTTTCCTTCCCTGCAGTGTTCATCACGTTTGCTGCTGTCATAACTGTGACCTCACTGGTCCTTATCTTTGGTGTCGCTCCACGGTTTGGACAGACAAATATATTGGTCTACATCTCCATCTGTTCACTGATAGGGGCTTTTTCAGTCTCTTCCGTCAAAGGCCTGGGCATCGCTATTAAGGACATGCTTTATCAGAAACCAGTCTTCCGAAATCCACTGCTCTATGTTTTAGCAGTAATTTTGGTGCTGGCTGTTAGTACTCAAATCAACTATCTCAACAAATCATTGGACGTGTTTAATACGTGTCTGGTCACTCCCATTTATTACGTGTGCTTCACCACCACCGTGGTGATCTGTTCCGTTATCCTCTTCAAAGAATGGAACAGCATGGAACTTGGGGATATCGTTGGAACCTTGAGTGGATTCTTCACCATAATTATTGGTATTTTTTTACTTCACGCTTTCAAAAATGTCAGCATTACCTGGAACCAGTTGGCAGCTTCTGTGAAAAAAGACCCCAATTTGCCTCTGCATGCTTATGAGTCTCCTCATATGTTATTGGAAAATATGGACGCTCCCGTTTCGATATGTGATGAGGATAACACGCTGTTCAGCCGAGAGATGAACAACAGTAGCCGCCATTAAATCATCTCTCACAGCTTACCGCCAACCACAGCAATTTTCAGCCTCACTATCTCAGAATTTGGAGGAACCTGAAGGGGGGAATGTCATTTGCTTTAGGGTTAGGAAAGGATCATTCTAGTATTTCTGCATTTCCCATCTTTGACAGCATGCAAAGGTCACCAGTAGCAGTAATACTGTTTGAGTGACGACTACAGTTGCTAATAAACTGAATTTTATATGTAATGTATTTTCTAAATCATATTTTATATTTTTACTGTTTTAAAATAAGATGTTTGCTCAGGGCTAAGTGAAGATATTTTGTGAAAACCAGGATTTTTTCTAATGACCAGCATGTTAGTAAACTGGAAGTTTTAATTTATTCTAATTTTCCAAGTAGGAAACATCCCAAAAGAACCACTTCTCTTTTTTTTTTTTAGGTGTAACTTCCAGCAACAAAGTTTAAAGTCTACTGAAGTACATTAAATGAAAACAGTTAGCACTGAGTTAGCTCCAGACCAAGAAATCCTTACAGCAAACTCATGAAATCTGGGAGTTAAGTTGGTGTACACTAAACATTTCTAGAAAGCCTTTTAAGTTTTATTTGCCTCATCAGTTGCTTTTAATTGTTCAGGATGATAGATTAGTTTTTAAGACACACACATGTATACTCACAAATGATAAAGTCTCTTCCTTTTTACACAGAAGTATATTATGATACAGTGTTGATATTTTTTTTTTTTTAAAATCCATAGTGTCCTTTGTTATTTTGTGAACTGAAAAGTGACTTTGGTTGCAAGTCAATGTCTGAAGTAAAATTATCACTGCCAATAAATTTGGTTTCGAAATAGAATTCCATCTGTAAACATAGGCTTGGCTGTGTGGAGATTTTTTAGTTATCTCTTCAGTATTTAATATTAACACAGCTGGACAGGTTTTATTAAACAAATAAACAAATTATATATTTAGCTCGCAGTAATGGATAGGCATGGACTTGGATAATACAGTCTTTTAGCTCTGAATTTTTCTTATTACACTGGTTTATTAAGAATTGGCATCTGTTCCATGATAAGGAACCGGTTAAGGAAATACAAATTTGTAATTTTTATTTTAAATGGTCATTTAACTGTGTGCTTCATCTGAGAAGCATGAGCAGTGACAGTGAAGTGCCATCCGGGGGGGGGGGGAGATGCTTTTCTGTATCTGTATAAAGTTTGCTATAACTATTTAAAAATATTTAATATTTAATTTTCTGAATGGAAAATCGTTGGAACTTTTGATATAATATTGAAAAAAATGAATAAAAATGTTTTGATGAAGTGTATATTCTGCTGACAGTGGGCCAGTTTTTATATTTTGTATCAGCCTAATCAATCTGGAGAAACCTCCTTTGAAAAACCATGGAGGTGGCCTAAGCCAGGGGTAGGCAACCTTGGCTCTTTTATGACTCGTGGACTTCAACTCCCAGAATTCCTGAGCCAGCCATGCTGAGGGGAAAGGGAGAGGTTTCCAAGCTGAGCCATGCTGGCTCAGGAATTCTGGGAGTTGAAGTCCATGAGTCATAAAAGAGCCAAGGTTGCCTACCCCTGGTCTAGGCCTAGGGATTCAAATAGAGATAGGTCAGGGGTAGGCAACCTTGGCTCTGATGACTCATGGACTTCAATACCCAGAATTCCTGAACCAGCTATGCCGACTCAGGAATTCTGGGAGTTGAAATCTACAAGTCATCAAAGAGCCAAAGTTGCCTACCCCTGAGATAGGTCCACATAAGATTTATATGAAGAAACTATATATTTAGACAACCCACACAAGAGCGTGAATTGATTGCTGTTGAAGACTTTTACAATTAAGCCAAAGGATAGTTTACCCTTCTTCTGTACGATGTTCCCTAAATTTTAGCTATTTCTGGGAATGTCCCTTATTTTTAAGATGTTAACAAAACATAGGGCAAATTTCTGTGGTGGTGCCATTTTTAGAAGCAAAGACTACACGTGCTGCAATTTTGCAGAAAGTCTTTATGTAACGTGGTAAATAGAGTATTTCCCTCTGAAGAATATATTCTCGGCTTTAATATTTAAAAATGTGGGGCAAAGGGGTTACTGAAATCTTAACAATTAGATGTAGCTAAATAACATCTGCGAATGGTAATATCCTTTAGCTGCTACCCCTGGCACTTAACCTCTTTTCAAATGTAATTAACTTGGATTTATGTAAGCGGCATTGGTGTTCCTTAGCAGTAGAATCTAGATCGTTTAGGTGAAGTATCTACATGTAGGTAGAATTATGTATCCCAAAGATGCTTTTTCACAAAGCAACTGGACTTTCTTGTTTTTCTTTGAAGACGTTTCGCTTCTCATCCCAGAAGCTTCTTCAGCTTTGACTGGATTTATACTCCTTGCAGACAGCTGGTCATTTGCATTCTTTTAGAGCAGGGGTAGTCAACCTTGGCTCTTTTATGACTCATGGACTTCAACTCCCAGAATTCCTGAGCCAGCATGAGAGAGTCGTTAATGCTATCTGGAGGCTTATCTGTGTCTTCAGGGTCACCTGAATAATGCAAATGGAGGGGGAGCCTTCTTGGAACTGTTGAAAGGACTATGTTCTAGACTGGAGATAGATGATGTCAGATCCCTCCCCTTCTGTTGAAGAAATGTCTTCAAAGAAAAATAAGAAAGTCCAGTTGCCTTGTGAAAAAACATCTTTGGGATAACTATGACCTGGATGACTGAGAATCTCCATAGACATGTAGGATTATGTAATTTTTTTCCCCCTAAACAGAACTGCAAAATAACCTTCGTTGATTTTGAACACTTTCAGGATAAAGCAAAAATATCTACTTTCCTTTTGGGGTCTGCAATGCACTATATCTAAGATGGCTTGGATGCTTCTGAAGCACTGCGTGACACAAGAAATTAAGTCCCCATGAAACTTTAGGATGAACTCTGGAATGGTCGTAATTTATAACATAGTCCAGAGGTCCCCAACCTTTTGGGCGCCAGGGACCGGTTCTGTGGAGAAAGGTTTTTCCATGGACCGGAGAATGCATGGTTTTGTGTGCTGCCTGCATCCCATGGATGGGGCTTTGCTTGTTTGTGTGGACCAGTTGCTGGCATGCTGTGGCCCAGTACCGGTGCACAGACCGGGGGTTGGGGACCCCTGACATAGTGAATAATTTAGGAACTATCTTAATAATGAATGTGAATCTTTAGTTTTGCCCCACACACTCCCCTGAAAATGAAAATCAGTAGTTCAACCTTTCGTCACAACTTCATATTTATTATATGAAGTATATTTATTAAGACACATTTTGCTATACATTATTTCCCTGGCAGTGCAGCCCGTTTTGCAATTGATAAAACCAAAATAACCATCTGATTAAAGAAAACACTCCAGTTTGTTAACGAAGTTGGGAGTGTGTTCTGTTTTTGCTAAACACCAAACTGAACGTGCAGCATACAGTAAAGGAGTCAATACGTTGTACTTTTAAATAGTCTAGGACGTACTAAATTCTCACTTCATCTGGAAACCTATGTGCAGTGCATATTTACAATACATAAATGGTATTTAGAATACATTTATTATGAATGCCGTGTTTCATAAAAGTCCTTCTGATTTCTAGAGATTGAAAAGTTTTAAAGAGGCTTTAATAATATTACTCTTGGGTGAAGGACGATATAGCAGATCAAATTGAAAGGGTAATTTTCTTCATTAACTTAGTAACTGCTTAAACAAGTCACAAGTACTGGAAGGTCTTCTGAGATTCCTGTGTCCTTCCTAACATCTGTTTCGAGCGCGGCAGAGTTTTTGAGCAGCTTCTAATCCAGGAGAGCTGATATTTTTTGTGCAGTACTAATCTTCTTTGTCCCTATTTTCCTGACAAGCTACAAGTTCTGTAGGAGACTCACAGCCTCAATTCTCCACATACCGCCTATCACCTTTATATTCACCAGGAGTCGTGGCCAAGCCAGTGTACACCAACTTCTTGTGTTGGCTGGAAAGGGATGTGGCCAAACACATCTGGAGACCTCAACGATGGGTAGGAGTATAAACGATAATCACTTTAAATCAGTGTTTCTCAACCTTGACAATTTTAAGGCATGTGGACTTCAACTCCCAGAATTCCACAGCCAGCATTGCTGGCTGTGGAATTCTGGGAGTTGAAGTCCACATGCCTTAAAATTGTCAAGGTTGAGAAACACTGCTTTAAATATTGTTCTTTCAAGTCAACAGCTGACTTGTCAACTTGTGCTGAATTTGGGTTATACTGTACAGTAGTTTTATCCTGCTACAAACGGCCATTTCCCCCCCCCTCCGTAAACCACACTGGGGTCCTCTTGATAACAATATTGTTTAAATAGCCAAAGGGACTTTAAATGGGTTGATAAAGCGTCTTCCTGTTGTGATTCCGTGCCAGCCTGTGCTCGCAACAGCTGAGTCTGAAGAATCTGAGGAGGAGGTGGAGGAGGCATTTGAAAGGCCATCGGGGGCAGAAGGAGGCTCTGATGAATTACAGGACTCACAGTTTGATGCAGAGCCTGGGCCCTCCAGTTGTGTTCCTGATAAAGCTCAGCTGTGTGAGGAGAATGAGTCAGACTCGGAAGACCCATACCTGATGGACTTGCTAATTGATGCTCGCACACGTCGTCAATTAGCAAGAGTAAATCAACAGCAGTCAATGCGGCACCTCCAGAGTAAAAGGAGAAGGCAATGAGAGGCAACGCCTTGGGTCTGCTGTATAAAAAGAGGAGGTGTGGGCGGTGCTGGTTGCTGAAGGCAACCGTTTGGAAAGTGCTTCTTGGAATCCTGGTCTGTTCGTCTTGCTTATGAATTCTCTTCTGTTTGCATCGTGTTTCCTGTGGACTATTTCCTTCCTTTGGACTTGAGTTTTGCTGTTTGTGTTTTGGACTATTTGACAGGTTTGTCACCCATATTAAAAGGGGTTTGTTTTGTTGTAAAGTCTCCAGCCTATTGTATCAGCAGGGGTTTGGTCCTTGTGCCTTTAACAAGGACGGCAATAGGCTGGAACAGGACACTTCCACAGACACAGGAGCAATATCCACAATTGCCTTGTCCTTCTAAGCAGCATCCAGGACTGTGTCTCTGGGAAGAATCCAGCAGCATCTATGAAATGGTATTTCTTTATTGTGAATTCTTGCACCTGCCAAGTTTATGGTCAGGAGGAAGAGTCTTCAGCTATACATTCAATCATATGCAGAAGATCCTGAAACGTAGGACGCCCTTCTGGTTTCTAGAAATGGAAAAAGATTTTAAAAAGCTGTAATAATTTATATTTATTTTTCTTTTGTGACCCATAATATGCAAATAGTCCTCCCTTAGCAATGGTTCAAAGTTACAACCAACCCTTCAAAAGCTACTTACATACACCTGCTGTCACATAACTACCTTTTGGGTGCCTAGTAACTGGCTCACTTTTATAGCCTGTGGCAGTGTTTCGGTCACATTTATAATGTTTTCTTGCTGGTTTCTCGCTTCTTTGGGTGTTTTTGTAAGAGCCGTGGTGGCACAGTGGTTAGAATGCAGTATTGCAGGCTAATTCTGCCAACTGCCAGCAGTTCAGTTCCCTCTATCTCAAGGTTGACTCAACCTTCCATCCTTCTGAGGTCAGTAAAATGAGGACCCAGATTGTGCGGGGCATCATGCTGACTCTGTAAATTGCTTAGAGAGAGGTTTGTTATTATTATTATTAACGGATGGATGGATGGATGGATGGATGGATGGATGGATGGATGGATGGGTTGATTGATTAGCCTTTGGAATACTGTATCCAGTTTTGGTCACCATGATGTAAAAAAGATGCTGAGACTCTAGAAAGAGTACAGAGAAGAGCAACAAAGATGACTAGGGGACTGGAGGCTAAAGCATATAAGGAACGGTTGCTGGAATTGGGTATGTCTAGTTTAATAAAGAGAAGGATGAGGGGGGACATGATAGCAGTGTCCCAGTATCTCAGGGGCTGCCACAAAGAAGAGGGAGTCAAGCTATTCTCCAAAGCGCCTGAAGGCAGGACAAGAAGCAACGGATGGAAACTAATCAAGGAGAGAAGCAACCTAGAACTAAGAAGAAATTTCTTGACAGTTAGAACAATTAATCAGTGGAACAACTTGCCTGCAGATGTTGTGAATGCTCCAACACTGGAGGTTTTTAAGAAGAGATTGGACAACCATTTGTCTGAAATGGTATAGGGTTTCCTGCCTGAGCAGGGGGTTGGACTAGATGACCTCCAAGGTCCCTTCCAACTCTGTTATTCCATTCCTCTTTACTTTGGCTCACTCTTTATACCAGAATACAGTAATAGGACTAATGCAAGTGAAATGCAAGATAGCATACCTCATGCCAGCACTTTACCATCAAGTCATAAATATTCTTAGAAGCTAACTTGGGTCGAAATAGCCGGTGTCCTTGGGTAATCATAGTCACCACTTCATAGTTTGTGTTTGTCTCAAAGGGCATTTTCCCTTCTGTGAACACTTCCCACATGAGAACTCCTGAAAAATCAGAGAAGAGATTAGTCAGGATGGGAGGCGGAGTGGAGCAGGCAGGATGGGAGGCAGAACGGTGACAGGGGGCGGTTTTTGGGCACTCGGTCTCTAAAAGGTTCACCATCACTGTTATATAGTAATAGATCTATCTATAATATAGTAATAGTATAGATGTATAATAAAAGATCTCCATAAAAACAAGTGACTGTCATTATATAAAATTTATTTACTTATCTATTTAAGTTTGTATGCTGCTCATCTCGCTACGGAGAGCAAACATTACCACCCAAACTCGCTTAGGTGAGATGGGTGATGTAGAAAAAATAAAACAAATAAAACACTCAGAACAGTTAACCAGAAACATGTGTTCTGCGATATATTTGGAAACAACTAGAACAGTGGTTCTCAACCTTTTTAATGCCGCGACCCCCAACTGGTCGTAAGTCGGGGACTACTCAACTGGTGCAGCACCATTTGCAGAATGGGACTTTTGGCGGGCTCAGCAGGGCAGAGACAGCCTGAACAATTCCTATTGGCTTTTGAAAGCCAATAGAATTAGACTCTATTCAAGAGAGTCTATTCTATTGGCTTTCAAAAGCCAATAGAATAAAAGGGAGTAGCACAGCTAAGGAAAAGGGGGAAAAAATGGCGGACTGCGTTGTTTGGCGACCCCCGTGAAATGGTCATTCGACCCCAAATGGGGTCCCGACCCACAGGTTGAGAACCACTGGACTAGAAGGAAATAAAGCACAAGTTAAAAACACATTACATACAACATCTGAAACTTCCAAAAGTTAAATTTTAAGTTCTAATTTTCACTTTAAGAAATAACGTCCGGAAATCTCGACACCTAGATTTTATCCAAGATTCCCTGTATGTATTTTACCTAGAACTCTTTATTATGTATCATTAACATGGAGCATTTTTTTTCATTCTATCTTAATTATAATTACTGCTTTGGCGGATTGTTTGAAGAGGCTAGTGGAAGGTTTGAAAAAGTAATCCTAAGTTTATTAAAAATAAAAAATTAAAAAAAAGTTAAACCATCTTACCAAAAGACCAGACGTCAGATTTGCTGCTGAATCGGCTGTAATTGAAAACTTCTGGGGGACACCACTTCACAGGAAATTTAGCACCTGAAGAGCTGGTGTATTGATCATCCAGAACATATCTAAAAGGAGAGGGAAAAAATCCTTCCACTTAAATGAGTTGCAGAGGAACCTCAGTACTCAATTGCTTCAAAACTCGTCAAATTTGGTACTCGACACGTTTTGAAGTGAAAATGTTGTCCCAGTACTTGGCATTTGTTTAATACTAGACGCGCTGTGATAGGAAAAGGGGGACAGCTGTGGAGAACAGTCAGAAAGCCGGCTATGCTGGGAAAGTCAGTGCAAAAGGAGGGGACGGCCACAGACGGCAGACACAAAGTCAGCCATGCTAGGAAGGTCAGTGCAAAAGGAGGGGACGGCCATAAAGGGCAGACAGAAAGTCAGCCATACTAGGAAGATCACTGCAAAAGGAGGGGATGGCCACAGAGCAGGGGTATCAAACTGCCAGCCCGCAGGCTGGATGCATCATGCCGAAACCGCGCCTACCCCAGCTCCAGCAATGGAGGAAAAGTCGCAATATATCGCACCACGTTACATGACGTGGCGAGTTTGACACCCCTGCCATAGAGGGCAGACAAAAAGTCAGCCATGCTGAGAAGGTCACTGCAAAAGGAGGGGATGGCCATAGAGAGCAGAAAGAAAGTCAGCCATGCTGGGAACATTGCAAACATGGGAAAAAAGGACAGATAGAAAGTTCTTCCTGGCTGAAACAAAGGGTCATGTGGTAAGTCACAGGGTTTGTTTGGGCCCTGTCCTTTTTAGTGCTTGTCACATCTCCTGGACCCAATTAGTGCCAAGTACCATGGTACCACTGTACAAGAAACTGACACAGATAGTCCTTGAATTAGGACCATTTAAAATATAACAATAATCTTTGCAGGCTTGGGCTATTTGCTGATATTCTGACTTAGTTATGTGCCCCTCTTTCCACTTTCTATACTTGTCTTTTTTATCTTTCAATTTATCAGAGAGTTCTTTATGCAGCCATGTTGGTTTCTTTTGAGAGCTGTTATTTTTCCTCTTTGTTGGTTTTGTGCTAGACTGGGCTTTTATTATCTCACTTTTCAAAATTTCCCAAACTTCTTGAGTTGTTTTCCCCTTGAGGATTCTCATCCATGGAATCCTTCCCAAGCCCTCTCTAAGTTTATTGAAATTAGCTCTCTTAAAGTCCAAGACTCTAGTTTGACTGTGTTCTACTGCTTGTGCTTCCATAATGTTGAATTCCAATATTGCATGATCACTTCCCCCCAAGGTTCCTGTGGTTTCAACACCTTCTATCATTTCATCTCTGTGAGAATTAGATCCAAAATGGCTAATCCCCTAATTCCCTTCTCTACTTTTTGGGATTTAGCAACGGTTTGAAATTACGATGCCACTGAAGAAAGTGACTTTGACCCATCCTCAAAGTTATGCACAATCCTTGCAGTCACATGATCTCAATTGGCAACCTTCCCAGATGCCTTCAAGTAAGCAAAGCCAATGGGGGAAGCCGGATTTACTTAATAGTAGCACGGTTCGCTTTCATTACTGCATGATTTGTTTAATGACCATGGTAAACAGGGTTGTAAGATAGGATCTGGTCATACACTGCATTGCTTATCAGCTGAAATATTAGTCCCAATTGTGATCATCAGTTGAGGACCACCTGTAATCAATATTCATGTCACTGCCTAACGGTAATGGATAAATTTCACAAATATTTAAAAGGACTAAGGACAGACCTAACACAGAGACTGACTCTGAACAACTCTGGATAACAGTTGGCAGCTATAATATTTTTCAGCCCTTTGTATGTGAGGTAGATGAGTTAAATTTGGTTATGTAAGCTACACATTATTGGGGTTTGTTTTAAGTTAAAAACACGGCCCCCACCCTACCACTTTGGAAGGTACAAATGTAAATTTAAAATAT